GGTTCTCAACCTGTGAGTCGCGACCCCATTGGGGGTCGAACGACCCTTTCACAGGGGTCGCCTACGACCATCGGAAAACAAAAAGATATTTACATTACGATTCATAACAGTAGCAAAATTACAGTTATAGAGTAGCAACGAAAATAATTTTATGATTGGGAGTCACCACAACATGAGGAACTGTATTAAGAGGTCATGGCATTAGGAAGGTTGAGAACCGCTGGTGTAGATTATGGTGCTGTGAGACAGGTCTCAGGGGCCATGATGGCTGAAGGGGTGGCCTTGGAGGATGGCATGTGTTCCTATGATGACAAGACTAGAAGGCTCATCCCTGGGCCACCTTTCAGGTGCCAGGGCTCAGCTCACAGACCCAGGGTCATAAGCTCCATACTCAGGATCCGGGGGACTTGTTCTGTCCTCGGGACAGGCTGGCTGCTTACAACCAGGTGGACATTCTATGGGGAAAATGTCAGGAATTGCTGCTGCAGTCAGAGGAGTCAGGGACAGCTGGAGTTGGAACAGCTGGAGTCAGGGGTGACCTTCCCTGGCATCACAGAGCCTTCTAAAGAGAGCCTCCAGGTACCTTCCTGGTGTCTGATGATTTTCAGGGTGTGCCCAGCCCCCCTCCCTGTCCCAGGCTGAGGCATCCCCTGGAGAATGTCGCTGCTGAAGCAGCCCCTGCATCTCTACCACCCTCAGAGATTCTGCCAAGGAGAGGCCTTCATCATGTCACGTAATCCTCTTCCAGATTGAATGTGCTTGGATAAAGGAGCGTGTCAGGGACTGCGTACATGGCCTCATGCTTGGGGCAGGACTGAGAGTCCGATCAGAGGCCCCACAGCTCCCTGGAAGGGACCATAATGACCTGCCTGTCCCACAGCCCCCTACCTGGCCCCTTACACCCCCAGAGACTGTTGATTCATCATCACAGTAGTAACCACCGCCTGTAGGTCTGTGAACTACCAAGCCAGGCCGGCTTTACCTGCGGGGTCCTCACCAATGGCCCCACAAATGGGCTTCATAGTTAGACTCATCTAACAGAGGAGGACGCTGAGACTCAGACAAGTTAAGGCACTTGCCAGAGGTCTCACCAGATTCCAGCCTGGGTAGAGTAACTCCAGAGGCCCACACACTGAACCCCCTCACCTCTCTGCCAGAGCGGGCAGTTGGGTAGCAGGAGAGAGCTGAAAGCCCTGGCTGGCACGGCTGCAGGACACGCTGCTCACAGGGTCTGGCCAGGACGGCTGGAAAGGCAAGTCCCCTGACCCAGGATTCAACAGAGATGGGAATGAAGGCGGGGGCCTTCACTAGACATTAAAGAGAAAATAAAAACCCTTGTGAACAAGATAAACTAAGACTGAAATTGGATATAATAAATATAGGATAATTTAATATTGGAGCTTCATTTCTTTTTGCCTCAGAGTCAAAGCTGGTCAATCAGAGTGTATTTAATATAGTGACCAGCCAGGGAGGGGTTGGGGNCCCCCTTCCAGGTGCCTTCTTCCCTCCTTGCATTCATGCAACATACATTTATTAGACACCTACTGTGTGCCAAACCCCGCGCTGGACTCTAGGTATGCCGCTGCAGTCCAGAAATATAAGGTTCCTGCTCGCATGGAGCTCACAGTCTGAGTGAGGCAGGCAGAAATTAAACAACAAGTTACAGTCAGGTGTTGGAGGGAACGGATACGGTGTACAGCCCGGGGCCCTAACCCTGGTCTAGAGTTCAGGGACCGACTCTGTGGGTGGGACGTGCAAGCTGGGACTACAGGGGCTAGCAGATGGTCATGCCAGGTACGGTGGAGACCCTCTCCACCCTCTGGGTAAGACCCGGCCCTCCCTTATTCTCCCTCGGCATCCAGCCTGTCCTCTAGATTCCCCAGGATAACTTTACACCCCAATAAGAGGCGTGTCTGCTGGGAGCCAGACAGTAGCCTCCAGCTGCGAGACAAGGAGAATCTGGACCACCCAAAAAAGGGACTGTGAGAGGGGCCAGCCCTCCCCTCCCACTCAGCCTCTTCTGACCCTTGGCCACTGAGGGCTCATGGGGCCCTGTCTGCCCTCTTCCTTCCAGGCGACAGATGAAGACTCACCTCCCAACAACCTGATCACCTACAGCATCGTCTTCGCCTCATCTTTTGGCAGCTACTTTGATATCAGCGTGTATGAGGGCTANGTTATATTGCCCAGCTCTGGGGTTCCAGTTCCCAAGGCATGGGCTCCATCCCTTCTCCCTCCGTGAGCGCCATCTCACCGCCCACCGGCACACACACTGCCAGATCGTGTCATCTTGCAAGCATCTCTCCTTCATGCTGTCACTCTCTCCCCCGTCTCCCTCTCTCCTCCTCACTTCCTTGCTCTTTCCCTTCTTCACCGATCTCTCCCTGGCCCGCCCAAACCCTCTCTCACGCACCCCTCTCTCCTGCAGGTGAAATCACCACCTCTACTCTGCTTGACCGTGAGACCAAGGCTGAATACATCCTCATCGTCCGGGCAGTGGATGGGGGCGTGGGCCACAACCAGAAAACGGGCATTGCCACTGTGAGTGCCCACCCCTCCCATGCCCCCAGCTTCCCATTTGCTGTCCAGCCTGCTGCTCCCGAGCTCATCTCCAGGCTGCACCTCGCAGGCCTCTGGACGCTTTGTCCTGAGGCAGTGTGAGGCACTGTGGGAGTGGAGTGAGATGGCAGGTACCAACTCAGTGTCAGTCAACCTCAGCCCTGGGGCCACCGCAGCCACGGGAAGAAAGGCATTCTTACCTGGGACACGTGGGCCCTCAGGAGGAGCAGATATTTTTTCCTCTGCTCCCAAAAGACCAGCTGGGCAGGTAGGAGAAGGCATGAGATCCACAGGCCCCTACCTATTGGCTCCTACAGAAGCAGGTACTCCCGCCAGGAAGAATGGCTCAGAGCAGGAAGCAGGGCCCTTGGAGGGTCCCTAGGGTCTTGTCACCACCCAGCCCAACTGTGGTGCTGAGACATGATGCCTGTGTTTGCCAACCATGTGCAAGCAGGGCCCGTGAAGGCCCGGAGCCCCCATCCAAGGCCTTGTCATCTCACCAAGGTGCCGGGAGAGCAGGAAGCGAGAGGATGTTGGAGGGTCCTGACTGAGCTCTTAGCTGCAGAAAAGAAGGGGTGAAGTGAGAAGCAATAAGCCCCTCTGTGGGACAGGAAGCAGGAGAGCCAGCTGACAGGTCACTCCGGCCACCTTCCCGCCTTGATCTTCATTCTCTTTCTTTGATTCTCCCTCGGGACTCCTCTCCCCATTACCCTCACCCTACCCACAGCAGCTTCTCCCAGCCCTGCCCAGCCAGAGGGGTGGCGGTGGTACTGCTTGGCCGGGGACTTGGCAGAAAAATCCCCAGTGCCCTATTCAGTCGCAGGAGGCCCCTGCTAATAGGATTCAGAGCTCTATAAATAATTTACCTGGTGACAGGTGAACAGGGAAATTGCTTGGCTTATAGCTGAGACTGACTTGGAAGCTTAAGGGATTCTATCAGCCCCCACCACCCTGTAAACCTCCCCACCCTGTCAGTCACCTTCAGCCAAGACTAGGGGTGGGTGGGACAGGTCCCAGGTCACAGGAAGGATTTCAGGGGCCACTTCATCTGTTCCTCTGCCACCTGGTGGGATACCACCTAAACCCTCTATCCTTGGAAGCCCAGGCCCTGCCCCCAAAGCCCCCAAAGCAGATGGAGTTGTGCAGTTAATACCAAGATGTCCCCTAGGCATCTGAGTATGTCCCCCTCATGGGCTCTGCCCTTGAGAAACTCAGCGAGGCATGGCCCACACCACCCCTTGTGGCTTCACAGGTCAACATCACCCTGCTGGACATCAACGACAACCACCCCACCTGGAAGGACGCTCCCTACTACATCAACCTGGTGGAGATGACCCCTCCAGACTCTGATGTGACCACGGTAAGTGGTGGTGGGACAGCAGAACTGCCAGGCTGTCCTTTCTAAGCAGTGTCTGCCATCCCCACATGAGCCCACCCAGGTGGGGCTAATGGACTTCATGCTTTTCTCTGAGCCATCTCTTGGAGCAGAGTTCTAGAAATTCTCTCACATGGTGAAAAGTAGTCAGAGGTTGGGGAAAAGCCCTCACCCAGTCCTCAGAGACACTGGGCTTCAAGTTTTGTCAAAGGGAGCACAGGTGACCCAGGGACAGCGCCAGGGATAGTGCCAGGGATAGTAGGGTTGGTTCAGCTTGTAGCCACACTTGCCCTGAAACCCAGGACTCTGGTCACCCCCTCAGAAGAGCCCCCGCCCTCCCCTAGCAAAGCACACATCCCTCCCTCAAATTGTATAAGCTTCATCTCTGCCCTCAGCACCTTTCCTTCAGCACTTCTGTCACTGCGGCCACTGGCTTGGGTCAGCTGGCCCCAGGGCTGACCCAGCAGGGGGTTCAAAATTCACCCAAAGATTTTCTGACATGAGGTGCTCCAGGTTTTCATAGACCCCTGTGCATGCTGCATGTGTGTACATCCAAGTGCTGTGTGCAGGGACATGACTCGAGGTGGGCAGGGGAAAACATGGCCAAAGCTTTGGGGTGTCCAGAATGGAGACCAGCTTCCTGGGGAAACTGAGGAAAGCCAGGATTGTGCACCCTATTGATCTGCTCTGCTCCACGACTTACATTTGCGAAACCTCTTTCTCCTTCCCCGCCCCCACATGTGTACCCCATTTGGCCTCATTTGAGGAGGTTTGTCACCAGCGTCCAGCCCCACAGCCACCCAGCCAGCCCTATGATGGACATGAATCTAACAGTTCATGACAACTCATTAATTAAAGTTCTGGGGTGTGCCAGGCACTGTGCTAGGGGTTCATCTTCATGGTACTCTCATGTGGCAGATGGACTCATTGCGGCCATTGTACTATATAGGACATGAGACAGAGTTTGAGGGGTTTGCCCAAGGTCCCAAAGTTTAGTAAGAGGTAGTGCCAGGACTCGACCCCAACTTTGAAACCACCTGGCCCAGCTCTTCTCCCTCTTCTGGTTCAGCGGTACCCTGGCAGGTAGCCCAGGTCCTGAGAAACTGGAGAACTCGAGTGGGATGGGAGAAGGGATGGTATTTTCACATCCAGCTCTCCAGGAAGGCTGCCCCACCCTGAACTCAGACAACCTTGGGCTGGTGATACCTAACCTCCCTTGTCAGACCCCCTCATCAACCACAGGGAGTAGTGACATAGTCCACCTGGGTCTAGGTGGGAGAGGATGTCAACCTAGACGGAAGGGGCTGGAGGTCTTGGCCATCACACCTGTCCTGTCCTTTCCACGCCTTCAGGATCTGAATGGTCTCAAATGGTGGGCAGGTCCCCTTCCAGACATCGCAGTAGGGCTGGGGCAAGGGCTCTGGAGTCTGTGGTTTTTCAAAGCGCCAAGTGGGAGGATTCCCTCCAACCCAGAGTCAGAGTTGGAAACCATTACCCTAAGCCCTTTCCACGTGCTAAGGACCAGATCTGATGGGCGCCCTCTGCTGCCACCTCGTGGACACTTGGGCTCTAGCCCAGGACAAACTCAGCTAGAGACCCCAAGAGCTAGGGCTGGATGCCCACCTCCGAACACCTGTCTGGTCATCTTTTACCTTTGCTTTATGTCCCGGGGAAATTCCTCCCAGAGGGAATTGAGGGGCAAGTGAGATATCCCTGGGAGAAAGTGGCTGCGTGGGTCACCAGCTAGGGGTGACATTATTGAAGAGCCTACCTGCGGGACAAAGCTAGTAGGTCTGCCCGGCTGGGACTGCATTTGGCCTTGGGCATTTCCCAGATCTGGTTCCCAGGGGTTCTCTCTGGGTCTCCAGCCTTTTCTCACATCCTTCTGAGCCATAAGCAGGTATGGACAATGGGCTAGGGGCCAGCTGCCCAGCACCTCCTCACTCTCCAGGAAACCTCAACAACCCTTCAGTGAGTACCTACTGTGTGCCAGGTCCCGTGCTTAGTAGTCTCAGGAGTACAGGAAGCAGTAGTGCTTCTGCTCTGCCTCCAGAGAGCTCCATGCCTCTTTTGCTCAAACCCACCACTGGATCCCACCTCACCCTGTGTAAAAGCCAGAGTCCCTACCAGACCTGCCTGGCCCATGGGATCTGCCCTTCCTTTCCCTCGAGGGCAGCGGTTCTCAACCTGTGGGTCGTGATCTCTTCAGGGGTCGAACGACCCTTTCACAGGGGTCGCCTAAGACATCGGAAAACAAAAAGATATTTACATTATGATTCATAGCAGTAGCCAAATGACAGTTATAGAGTAGCCACGAATTAATTTTATGGTTGGGGGTCACCACAACATGAGGAACTGTGTTAAGGGGTCGCGGCATTTAGGAAGGTTGAGGACCGCTGCTCTAGGGAGATAGACATGTGAGCCCACCCCTCAGTACCGAGTAGACACGGCCACTCCTCCCCCAGCGTGGGGCAGCCACAGGGTTGGGGCGCTCAGGCTTTTCAGTGACCCGTAGTAGTGTCAGACCTGAAAAATAAATAAATAAATAAAATGACTCAGAAGTTCACAAAGGGCAAAATCAAAATTAAAGCTTGTTATAGTAAACAGCTACCAACTATATTATGACATTAGTAATTATGACATTTAGTGTTTGTAAAAATTTCATTATGTTCGAGGACAAACTGTAGGTTAGATTTTTCTAGACTTGTCAGAATTTTTCAGAATTCTCAGTTATCTGTGATGATTGGAAGGAAAGCGCAAGTCAGGGAGCCTACACGTTGAGTTGGTCATAGCAAAATCGTTTCAAAAGGAGAAGTCATAAAAATTCTTTCAAATTTTATAGCCACGAAATGTACGTATGACTAGATATGGGGGTATGTTTTAATATCTTTGAGAGTGGCCCAGGGCTATGGTAAGGGCTATGGCTAAGGCGTGAGGACAGAAGGCTGCAGTGCAGGGAACAGCTAACCCAGAGGTGACATCCAGGGGGAGGGTGACGCACCTCCTGACTTATCGCACACCGCCCTTCTCACACCCACCACACCCCTCTCCCCCAACGCACACACTGGCCTTCCTGTTTCCTGAACCCACTAAACTCTTTCCCACCTCGGAGTCCCTACACAAGCCCTTCCTCCCCGCTCCCCCCTTCACCCCCAGAGTGTTCTTCTTCCTCTGCTCCCCCAGCCCGGCTTTTCCCATGGCTGGCTCAGCCTTCCACCTGTCCCAACTTAAAATGCCACCTCCAAAGAGAAGGACTCCCTTACTGCCCTGACTCAAGTAGCTGTGCTTCTCTCCATACTCTGTTTCTTTCAAAGCTGGCCCCACAACTTGTTTGTTTGTTAGGTTCCTTGCTTATTAAGAGACAGTTGTAGCTTAGTGATTCAATGGGCAGCTTCTGATACCAAAATGACTAGGCTGTACTCCTAGCCATACCACTTACCAGCTGTGTGGTGTTGGGCAAGTTACTTGACCTCTCTGTGCTCCAATCGTCTCATCTAGAAAATGGGGCTGGTTAGAGTCCCACCAAAATATATAAAGTACACTAGCACACGGTGAGGGGTTGAAACGTGATAGCTTTTGTCACCATTACCTGCCTCCCTGGCTGGAATCACATGTCTTATTCATTGTAGAGCCCTTATGCTTAGCACAGTGCCAGGCACGTTGTAAGTGTTCAAAATATTTGTGAATGAAAGTTGTTGAAGTACTCATTTACCTTTCTTCCCCAGCCTGCTTGGCCCCCCAGCTCTGCCAGGTCAGACTGGGTCTTCCTGTTAGAGGAAGACTAGAGCATATGACCTGGGACTCTCCCAAGGGCCCCTCTAGAGGGGGCACTGGCCCCAACCCCTGGACTCTGAGGCACAGGGTGATCCCAGTAATTTTTCAGAGCTTGTGTGCAGATGAGCGTGTGCCCGCTTTCAGGTGCACTTGGACTTAGCTGGGCTGGTGTGTCTGTGTGCACACATGCACACCGATGGTGTCCACTGCATCCGCGTGAGCTCTCGGAGTGACTGTTCTCTGTTTTCAAGTGAGATTTGGGCCCCACCCTCCCTCCTGGCTCCCGCAGCCTGCTTCAAGGACCTGGCTGATGGGCATTGATTTAGAGCCTTTCAAAGCCCTCTGGCAAAATAAAGGAGAGGGGAGAGGGAGAGAATTAGTCCCGTCAGGCCAGGAGAAAAATGACGAGCGTGAAATGGGAAATAAATGAGGAGAAAGTGGTGAGCGTCTACACAATCGCCAGGAGGAGTCCACAGGGGTCAGTCACAGCCCGCTGCCCTCTCCCGTGCCCCCACCCCACTCCATGACCAGGGAGTGGACAATGAGACCAGATATCGGTGTCACTCAGAACCAGCTACCCCAGGGGCCCTCAGGCACTCAAGTGGGGAGAGGGGAGAGAGGAGAGGAGAGGAAAAGCCACCCCCACCCCCTCCCCATGTGAACTTGATCTCAGTGTATTCAGCAGGGGGCTGTTGGTCTGAAACAGGTTGTTTAACTGCCTTCTGCCTCAGGTTCCCCACCCAGATAAATGGGGATAAGAACTGTGTAACTGGAGAGAGAATGTTCTAGAAATTCAGGGCTTGCTGCTCTCTTCTGTCCATCAGCCTGGCTGAAATGATGCCTGGGGTGCCTAAGAGCTCTGTTTCCTGTTGTCAATACAGGGAGCGATTGAGTCCCCATTATAGAGGCTGGGGAAACTGAGGCAGCGTGCCCACAGCACAATGAGGGCTCCTCGGGCCTGGAAGGCTGCCCCCACCCCACTCTGCTGCAGCAAGGCTGAAAGTGAGGGGGTGGGCTGAGCAGTCTGGGGTGGGAGCAGGGCTGCGTCCCACTGTCTGAAGCACCCTAGAGTAGCTCAGGGTTCAGTGCCAGCACCAGCCTCTCCCCCTGGCCTTCTGGGGCCCAGGGGCAGATGGGAGCCCTTGGCCACAGTGGCCCATCTGTCTGTTCTGGTCTGGTGACCCCAGAGACACCTCACTGGGGATTAAGCCAGAGAAGGGACAGATTCTGCTGCCAAAGCACAAAAGGCCCCACATCAAGTAAGATAAAGGAGCTGACGAGGCCAGGCTGTCATCACCAAGTGTCCTAGAGTGAAGAATGACACTGTCCTGACGCGACCCCTGGGACTGCAGTCACCCCCCCTACACTGATCTTGTCCACCTCTGGTGCCGCAGTGGCCCCTGCAGCACAGGGTGGGAGGACCGCTGAGGGGTGGGTGCCACTGCTGTCCTGGGTGGGAGCTGGGCCGGCCCCAAGGCTGGCGTTGTATGACCTTGAGTCTGGCCTCTCTGAGCTCTGCTTTGCCCTCGTGGGAGGGACATAGCCAGAGAAGCTCCCTACGGAGCAGGGGCTGGGCAGGCACAGGGACCTGGGGGGGCGCAGGCTGTGAGGTGTGTGGCCCTGGGTTAGGACAGCACTGAGGCTGATCCCTTCACAGAGTGGGAATACAAGTGGGGAACCAGGGGGGACGCTGGAAAGTTAAAAGGGCCAGAGCATCTGGGGCGCCTGTCCTGAGACCCTGCCCCTCCTGGGGATGTCGTTCCTCCCTCCGGGGGACGGAACTCAGCCTTCTCCTCCCCCTCCCCGAGTCCCATGACTGTCTCAACTTGCTGGGACCCACCCTCCAAACTGGGTGGCTTGTCCATGGCTCCCTTCCCGTGCCGTCATCCGTGGTGTCACAGAGGCCTAACTCTTTTCAAATCATCTCACAAGCAAATGCTCCAAAGGAAGAGAGGGTTCAATGATGAGGAACCCAGTTCCCAAAATCCAGCGTTCAAATCCTTCCAAAAGCTCAGCCAAGGGTTCAGACTCCCCAGCCCTTCCCAGCCGCACCCTGAAGAATTTCGTGGTCATGGACCTACTGGGGCCCCCCTGCTCTCCCAGAGGCTTGTGAGTATGTTACCCCGCATGTCTGGAACGGAAGGCCTCTGAGACGTGCTGGCAGGGTTGCCTGCTGGCTACTTGCATGGGCTCCGGAGGGACCCAGAGCCACTTCCTGACGAGGAGACTCTGGGAGCCTTGCTGATCACATCTGTGAAATGGGCGTGATTATAGGTATCCACCTCGTAAGGCTGTTGACACGGTACGTGGAGAGGGTCTGGCATTTATAAGATATTGGGAGCCTTCTATATGCTGGTATGTGCTAGGTGTTGCTTTTTTAAGATCAGGAGGCCAAGGCTTAAGTAGGGAAAGGGACTTGCCTAAGACCAGAACTGAGGGGTGCAGAAGCCGTGGAGCCCGGGGCTTCCACTGCTGGTTCGCCTTCTGACCTTCCCACCTCTCAGCCCCCATGAGGCCTCCCTGCTGGAGCCAGGTGTGAGGCCCAGTTCTGGGTCTGAGTGGGGTACCTGGGTCCGGCGTGTGAGCTCACACAGCCCGGGCAGGCCGCCTGGACGCAGAGACACCTGCCCTGGGCAGGGCTCAGTGGAGGATTGGCTGTCCCCTTCCTGGGCAGGTGGTGGCCGTGGACCCGGACCTGGGAGAGAACGGCACCCTGGTGTACAGCATCGATCCGCCCAACAAGTTCTACAGCCTCAACAGCACCACAGGCAAGATCCGCACCACCCACGTCATGCTGGACCGGGAGAACCCTGACCCCCATGAGGCGGAGCTCATGCGCAAGATCATCGTCTCCGTCAGAGACTGTACGTGTCCTCTGCTCCCCTCACAGCCCCACACTCCTGGGTGGGGACCCTGACGCCTCCCTGGTAACTTGTCCTCAGGGGGTTCCGAGCCTCCCCTGGAAGGCTGTGTCTTAATGACTAAGAGTGGAGTAATACACCTTCCCGGCTGTGATCCCACCCCCAGAACACCCTCAGGGGTGAAGGGGACTGGGGTGTGCAAAGCCCAGGCCGCTCGCTGGAGGGGGCTGCTGGGGTGGAGGGTCACGCAACCTGCCCCTCCCCCCACTCATCTTCCCCCTGGCCTTTTTTCTCCTGCACCCCTCTTTCCCTCTCCACCCTCCACCTCTATGGTCCCCCTACCCCAGGTGGCAGGCCCCCTCTGAAAGCCACCAGCAGTGCCACAGTGTTTGTGAATCTCTTGGACCTCAATGACAACGACCCCATCTTTCAGAACTTGCCTTTCGTGGCAGAGGTGCTTGAAGGCACCCCTGCGGGGGTCTCCGTCTACCAGGTGAGCTTTCCTTTCCCAGCCTGAGACCCTGCTCTCTGTCGCCCTCGCCTCATCCTAACCAGCCAGCTAGTGGGCAGCAAGTGCCCTGGGTGCCTGGCCTCGTGCAGAGCACTTTGCAGGTACAGGACAGGGGACACTGCCAGACAGGACATGATCTGCACCAGGCTTGGAGAACCAGTGCTCTGCGAGATGGTGATGGAAGGCTTCCTGGAGGAGGAATTTGAGCTGGGTCTTGAAGGACAGGTGGATTTGGAGAGGTGGAGGCAAGGCACCACAGGAGATAGATAAATGAGGGAGGGAAGGAGAGAAAGCGAATTCTGGGAAGCCGATCTTAGAGACTTTCAGGGCCTGATTATCGAGGTCTTTTCTAAGCCTGTAGATGGTTCTAGAACACAAAGAAGGTTAGGTGAGTGTAGCCCAGACTCCCTGCCTGCATGTGCTCTCCCGTAACCCCCAAGGCTGCTCCACACGATGGGTGGGACTCTCCCCACTTTTCAGAAGACTTAAAGAGACTTGCCCAAGTCCCTGTGGCCAAGAAGAGGTAGCAACTGATCTTGCACCTGGACCCTCTGCCTCCTGCTCCATCACCCTTATGGTCAGGGAGGCCCTGAGGTGCTGGTTCAGGGAAAATGATGCCCTAACAGGGGCCAGTTAGAAACACTAGATGGCCCTTGCAGTTAAGAGTGTGGGCTTTGGAATGTGACCAGGTGTGGATCCCAACTCTACCACCTGTGCTCTGGGTGACTTGGAGCAAACGACTTAACCTCTCTGGGCCTCAGTATTCTCACCTGTGAAATGGGGATCATAATAGTACATGCCTGGCTGTGCTGTGGCATTCAATCAGACACAGGTGTAAAGCATCCTGGCATTTGGACTGCAGGAGATGTACTGTAGCTGATGTGTTCGTTCTGTGTCTATCGTGAGGGCTTATACTCGAGAGACAGTGGGATCCGGTGGCAAAGGGTTAGCCTGATCCCATTCAAAGAAGACAAGGTTGTTTGTCAGCATGCCAAAGCGGTAAGCTTGGTGATGCCCTGCAGGCCCACTGTGCCTCAGTTTCTTTATCTGTAAAAGTTGGTTAAACGTGTTCTTTGACAGGTTCCAGGGAGCAGTCCCTCCTGCAGAATATTTTCCCCCAAACGTCCAGCAGGGGGAGCCAAGATCTGGACAGGGAACAGCAGCCTTTCCCTGAGGAGTCCCCACACAGGAGAAGTGGGGAGTGAGAGAGGTCTCAGAGCTGGCTCCCCGGGAGCTCGCAGACAGTGGAGAAAGGCAATGTCCACCAGCACAACTTCTGAGTTCAAAATCAGGAGAAGATGATGGAAGGATCTGGGAGCATTTATCTTGCAAACTGTCTTCAGATACAGGAAGAGGGTTATGACTTGAGCTCGGAGGTGCCCCAGGTCCACTCTAAGACCTTGACCAATAGTGATTTCTGCTGAGGTGCAGAAGAGCTTTCTCCAGGGACTAGAGCTGTGCAGTGAAATTAGAAATAGTGAGCCCCTGGTCCTGTAAAGCAGTCAAGCTAAGTGTGGACACCCTTTGTCCAGCTTGTTAGATATGAATTAACCCAGATGACCTTGACATTGCCTTTCAATCCCGAGAGTCTTGGATTGATGCAAAGCTCTTATTTTAACTCTCATTATACATTTTCTCAAATGTTTTAAATCCTCTTCTGTAAAACTTTCAACATAATCAGGGTCTTGAGTCAGGATATCTCTCATCAGGACTGGACGTGCTGATGTGAAGGGTGTAGGGATTTGGGAGGCAGAGTGCCTACACCTGGCCTCAATGGCTTTTAAAAAAAATAATAATCAAACCTTCAAGTGACTTTTAAAAACTGATCTTTGATATCATCTTATTGGTGTTGCCCTACAAATCAAAACAAAGCAGGAGAGGCAATTGTGATAATTGAGCCTTCTTTGTAGTTGAGCTCCACATGATCGAAGGGGTCTGAGCTGTAAGAACTGCCCCAGGTCAGCGTCATGAGGGCTGGAAGGGTAGGGGAGACTGCGCAACGCTGCAAAGTTTGGAGGGCCTGACCAGCTGGGGAAAATCTGGGAGGGCGTCCTAACAAGGAAAGAGGAGTTCTGAAAGGGGAAAGTTGTGGGGACCTGGACTCTTTGTTCTAAAACATCCCATCTCCACCCCACCCCTGGCCCCACTTGGTGCATCTGGACGCCTTTCAGCTCTGACATGCTGCCCCCTTAGAGAACATCTGGCAGGGTGTGTTGGGGACAGTAGCCTGGCCGGAGGCTCCAAGGGGAGCAGGTGTTTCTGGCTGGAGCTGAGCATGGGTCAGTGGGAAGGAGGGGAGAAGGGGACACTTCTCAGGGGAGAAGTGTCAGTCCTGGTGTCCCCATTCCTCACACAGCCCCTCCTTTCCCTCAGGTGGTGGCCACTGATCTGGACGAGGGCCTGAATGGGCTGGTGTCCTACCGCATGCAGGTCGGCATGCCCCGCTTGGACTTCCTCATCAACAGCACCAGCGGCGTGGTGGTCACCACCACTGAGCTGGACCGCGAGCGCATCGGCGAGTACCAGCTGCGGGTGGTGGCCAGTGATGCGGGCACGCCCACCAAGAGCTCCACCAGCACACTCACCATCCGAGGTGAGAAGGGTGGGAGTGCCTCCTGCTGGATGCTGAACACATGGACACGGGCCCTGGGACAGTGTGGGAAGTGCGCGTGCCTTCCTTGCTGTCCATCATCCATGTGGACACAGGGTGCCCTCCTCAACCGGAGCCATTCAACACAGCAGAGCTTTCCTTGCTCCAAGCCAAAAATGCCAGCAACCCTTCTCCCACCTGACCACTGCCTTCAGTGCCCCAGAGCCAGGAGCAGTGGCCTGGACCCATTGCCAAGAGCCCCCTCTTTGATCCTGGCAAAAGCAGAGAGGGCCTGAGCAGGGGTGGGGGCCCTTGCGCTAATAAGTAGTCTGGGCAGGTTGCAGAGCCCTTTGTCTTCTTTGAAGGCCAGAATTTTTATTTGGAGATGCAAAGGGAGCCGTCCCCTCCCATGTGCCTGGAATCTCAATGGGAGGGCATCACCTTGGGAAGAGGAAGCTGGGATTCCCCCGACTCCCTGAAATTCCTCCTCCCCATGGGGCCCTCTCAATAATGCCCACCTGTCTCCACCCTCTATGGGGCATCCAAGGAGGATTACTATTTCTCAATCACTCTGGCTATATATTTAATTCTCAGGACAAAACTGGGACACTGATATGAGCTATTGCCAAAGGGCCAGGAGGAACCCCCAGAATATAAGTGCAGAATATAACGGGCAAGATGTGGCCTGTTCTCTAGGACAGGCCCGGCTCCATCCTGGCTCCTGCCAGCCTGCATGGGATGGGAGTGGTTAGCTCAGCACAGGCACAAACTTCCACCCTCCTTAATCACGACCTGAGATGGTAAAGATGAGAGAGCCAAGCATCCTCTCTCCTGGTAATCCAAGTCTTGCCTTGTGGGTTCCTGGTGCCAGTGTGAGGACCCACTTCTATGCCAGTGATTGGCAAGGAGGATGTCCAGTCCTCTCAGAGGACCCACCTATGATTTTTCTCCAAGACTCAACAGAAGCCATATCACCAGATGAGCCCATCGTTTCTCTTCCTAGTGATATTGCAAAGAGTAGCCAAGGTGGGGTGGGGATCATTTCATTAGGAAGGTCTTCCAAAACCCCATCTGCCAAAGGAATAGGGGCTTGTATGCAGAGCTGGAAAAAGAAATGAATCTTAAGGGAAAGTGGACTCTGTGGGTAGGAAAGGTCCTCAAAGGCAATTACTGTCCCTGGGACCTCACCACACACTGGAGGCAGCAGTCCCCAAGACTCCGACCCTGCCCCTCTCTTGCTGTGTGACTTTGAATAAGTCATTCGGCTGCCCTGAGCTTCTGTCTCCCCGTTTATATATATATGGCTGTCCTCTGAAGATGTTATGAGGGGCATGTGTGGTCTTGCATGGGAAGCACTTAGCATGGGCTTGGCCTGTGAGAAGAGCTGAGGAATGGTCACTGTCAGTAGCATCATCGTAATCATTGTCAGGCGCACCCTGGAGAGGAGCTCTGGGGTTTTCTCCTCCCTTGGACAGCAGGAGCAGCAGCAAGCCCTTAGGGACACAGGGGCTGTGGGAGGGCGTGGGCTTCTGCTCAGCTCTGTCATGGCCCCAGCCAGCATGGGGCCCATGGCTCATGACTGGGAGGTGCTGACTCCTAGGAAATCCATTTCCTATTGGCCTGTGGAGTGAGCCGCTGCCTTTGGAGCTGGGGCGTCTTGAGCAGAAGCCGGTCCTAGCCCTGTGTACCGACTCTGCCCACAGTGCTGGATGTGAACGATGAGACACCCACCTTCTTCCCTGCTGTGTACAACGTCTCCGTGTCTGAGGACGTGCCACGGGATTTCCGAGTTGTCTGGCTGAACTGCACCGACAACGACATAGGCCTCAATGCTGAGCTCAGCTACTTCATCACAGGTGCGGCCTTGTCTCCACCCACTTCCAGATGTACAGCCCACCTGGGGTGGGGCAGGAGAGGGGACGAAGCCCACATCAGCCATCAGGATTTGGTCCCTACTGAAGCCTCCCTGAAGATTTGCTCGTGGCTTTTCCCAAGGACTTTGTAGCTGGATCTCCTCGGGGGCCTCCTATACCTATTGGGATGGGGGTACCTACCAAGTTTTAGTCTGGAGGGAGATGGAGCCAGTGACCCCTGGGAGGGGCCCTGCCCCACACTCTGTCCCCTGTTAGGGTGAAGAAGCAGCCACTGGAGGAATGTGGCCTGTCCTTCCTTGGAGACCCTTTCACTCATTCAGAGAATTCCCATCTGTTTAGAGGCAGATGGTTTAGAGCTCTCTAAATTAAATGGCCTTTGCTCAAACATGGCAAGTAGCTCCCACCTGAAGCGCTATGGAGAAATATTATAGGGCCGTGTCCTGGCTCAACAAGGGAAAGGGAGCCATGATCGATCAGTGCTGTCTGCCATGACAGTCGGCTTGGTAGGTGATGGTAAACATGCCATGCATTAGGCATTCCTGGATTAGAACGGTTTCCCAGCATTCTTTAGTCCATTGCAAACCTGAAAGGTACTGGGATGCATGGGATCGGGGTAGTTCTTTCACATTCCTCAGCACTCCCTTGGCCATCTTACTGGATCTGCCTTCCCTCTCTCTGTCCACGACCTGCCTGCAGCCACATTACACACACATCCTTACGCAAGTGTGTGTGCATACACCAGCCTCCCTGATGCCTTTCCCCTGGGAGCAAGGAATCTCAGGCTCACAGTCCATCCATAGCTCGCTGCAGCCAAGGTGACCTCTCAGACCTCAGCCTCTCCTCTCCAGATCCTTTCCCTCCTTCCCCTCCATGAAGGGGCCCAGCACCCTCAAGCCAGCTCCTCACTTTCCCAGGTCCTCAAGACTGCCCTGGGAAAGTCTCAGCTATTAAGACACCCACATGGTACCAGCCAGGGCTCAGACCCCAGCACTACTCATGTCTTAGTTCCTCCCCAGCCCCCTAAGGAGCCAGACTGTGTTCCTTGTAGTTGGAGCTTCAAACACTAGATAGCAGATCCTGGAGGCTTAGAGGCAGCGGGCTTTCCCCAGGGGCAAAGCATGTCAGGACAAGGGAGCATGTGGCAGTGGCCCCGAGGATAACTTCCCAGCACCCTGAAGTGGCCAGTTCCTGCTCAACTGACAGCCTTCTCAGCCCTAGGATCCTTGGATTTTAATTTCGCACATTCTGAGAGGAGCTGTGCAGTATCCTGATAGAAGCTCGTCCAAACCCAGTGCAGTGGTGCCCTCTGCTGCCCAGACCACCACACTGCCCGCCAGCTAGCAGGGGAGGGGTCTCCACACTGTGCCAACGGAGCGTTTTTCTGGCGTTCATCTATCTCAGCAAGGAGACCCTCACACTTCCCACCTGTCCCAGAACTCAGGAAGACTCAGCAACTCCTGTCTCCTGTCCACCTGCCCCTACTTTTCACTCTGTGGGGCCTCCAGGCATCCCCCCACCCTGGAGAATGCCCAGCCCACCTCAAAGTCCTTGGCCACGTAAACACCCCCGCCCAGGTTAACTGCTCAGATACTTCTACAAGACAGGTGGCAGACTAGTGAAGGGCACAAGCTGGGGAATGAGACTATTGCGTTAGAGTCCTACACCCCACCTAGGTGACCCAGGGCAACACACATAACCTCGCTAATGAACCCTTTTCCTCCTCCGTGGAAACAGTGACAGTATGCATGAAATGAAATGGTCCCTGTGAAGTGCCTGGTACACAGTGGGTGCTCAGTGAATATTAGACCCTTATGATTTCAGGCATTCAGCACCCCGCCTAAGCCCACACAGGCCACACCCTCATCAGAGCCCCCCAAAACCCTGTCCTCAGGCAAGGCTGAATGGGCAGCACAGCCTGTCGTTGCAGGACCACCCCTGGAGTGCCCCAGGTCAGAAGCAGAGGTAGGTGCCCCCTGCTTTTCCCTGGCCAGGAGCCGCTTCCTGGCTGCAGCTTCGTTCTCTTTTGCCCACAGGTGGGAACGTGGATGGGAAGTTCAGTGTTGGCTACCGCGATGCCGTGGTGAGAACAGTGGTAGGCCTGGACCGGGAGACCACAGCTTCATACACGCTCATCCTCGAGGCCATCGGTACGCACCAGGCCTCCCTGCCCACCACCACATAGTTGTTCTGGGCAGAGTTCACATGAGGCACCCTCCCAGGGGCCAGCTGGGCCCAACCCCAGGAGCCAGGCTCTGAGCCAAAGGCTCTGGCCTAATGCCAGTGGAGAAAGGGCAACCAGCTAACACATGGTGGGGGTGGAGGATAATCAAGGAAGGCTTCTTCGAGGAAGTGGCATCAGGGAGTGCCTTTGGATCAATTAGGACTCTTAGTTGCAAATTTTAAAATAAAATAAACTGACTTCAGCAATAGAGATGAGATCTGATTAGTTCCACCTGCCCCGGTGCCTGTCCCTGAACCTCTTGTCATGGTCCAAGGGGTGAGATATGCAGGTGAGTGAGGCCTAAATCACATGCCTGTCCCTGGAACTGGGGCAGAGGGATGGGGGAGGGGGAGCTGTCAGACCCACTTAGAACCCCAGGCCTCAGAGTTGGGAAGGGAGGGTTCTCAGGGGGACCTTCAGGGCACGGAATTGCCTAAGAAAGCAGGGTGGTGCTGGTGGGCGGAAGTCAGGCAGGCCCGCCATCTCATTGAGGGCCAAGAGAGGTTTCAATACATGGAGAAGCAGAGAGGGTATTTCAGGCAGAGGAACCAGCCCATGCAAGGGCCAGGAGGTGGGAAAGCTGTGTGTGTGTGTGTGTGTGTGTGTGTGTGTGTGTGTGTGTGTGTGTCCATGTGTCCATCTGTCCCCACCTCCCGGGTTGCTGGCCCATGGTGTAGTGGACATTGGGGAGGGGAGGGTGCGATCAGGTAGGGCTGGCTGTGGAGGCCTGCATGTCAGGCTGGAAGTTGGGTCTTTGGTTTCCAGGCAGCAGGAGCCCTTGAGGGCTTCAGAAGGGAAGAAGTCTGTGATGCGGCCTGTGTCCCCCAGATAGCCTTGGTCCTCCCAGGAGCACCTAGTTTGTTGTTTGCAGTGAGCACTGGGTGGAAAGGGAATGTGCTGTCTGCGCCTCACTCCTTCCAGCCCACAGTCTCTCCACAGCCCGCCCACGCCCACAAGCATCTTCCCTCTGCCCTGCTGCTCTCCTCCCATCCTGGGGCAGCCGCACCACCCTCTGGAGACCCGTCGTCTCCCTCTGAGTCCAGCCTTCTCAGCTCTGGCTAACAGGAGGAGAGGGCTCAGTCAGGCTCAGACCTTCTGTGGAGCCTGCCAGCAACACTGTCCCCAGCGAGGGCAGATAAGCAGGACCCCTAGGGCAGTGGGAGGCTGGTCCTGGAGAGGCACTTAGGAAGACAGGATGACTCAAGATAGGCGACTGCACCCAGGCATGTAGTCATCTGGCCTGGGGAAGAAGGACAGAGCCTCCACTGGTCCTCAGCCCACTCCAGCTGCCTGGACTCCTCCCTGGGGTGACTGTCCTTGCCTGGACGTGCAGCGCTGAGCGCAGCTCCTTCCTCCAGGGAGGATGACCCAACACTGCCCGTGGAGCTGTCTCCTCCCAGCCCTGGAGGGGCCTCACAGGGGCTGAAGGGGTAGAACCCCTGGCTACCACAGGCTTAGACATCCAGCAGGGCCCACATCTCAGAGGGCCCACCCCACATCTGTCCCACTGATGTTTGACCCACCTCGTGTTTCATAATGACGAGTAGTTGTGAACATTTAAAAACCAGGAGATTTTACTTAAAAGCTCACGTGTTCAATTTCTCTTAAGAAACCAGAAGACCTCATGTCACTGGGCCCACATTCCGCCTGTCCACTGTAGACCGGAGCAGAGGACAGACTGCTCTGTCCTCGGAGGTGGGCCCGCCCAGACAGTCACCCAGGGATCTTTCCCACAAGGCCCTGACAGCATCTGGGTTTGTAATCTCAGGGTCTCTCTGATTCCTAGGGCTGCTGTAACAAATGATCACAAATTCAGAAATGTATTCTCTCATGGTTCTGGAGGCCAGCCATTAAATTAAGGTGTCAGCAGGGCCCCAGTTCCTCCCAAGCCTCTTCCGGTTTCTTCCTTGACTCCTCCGGCTTCTGGTGGCTCTAAGTGTTCTTGGCTTGTGGCTGCAGGACTGGACTCCAGTCTCTGCCTCCAACTTACCATGGTCTTCTCCTCTCTCTGTCCAGTCTCCCCTCGGCCTTTCTCTTATAAGGACCTTTGTCATTGGCTTTATGGCTCACCCAGATAATCCAGGACACATCATCTCAAGATCCTGAACTTCGTTACATCTTCAAAGACCCTTTCTTCCAATAGGTTTACGTTCACAAGTTCCCAAGGCTTTGACATGGGTATACCATTCAACCCTCTTCATGCCTCAGCTCCCTCCTCTGTAAAAGGGGGATAATTGTGCCTACTTCATAGGCTTGCTGTGAGACTGAATGAGCTCGAAGTGCCTGGGACGTATTAGATAGTGTTAGTGTTATTCCTAATCTAAAAAGAAAAACAGCCACCCCTGCAGAGGCCAGAGTGGCTGGGGTGAAAGGGCCTGTGCCTAGAGAAGTCGCCCCTCGGGCAGCTGCTAACAGCCCATCCCCCATTGACTCCCACAGACAACGGCCCCGTAGGCAAACGTCGCACAGGCACTGCCACCGTGTTCATCACTGTTCTGGATGTGAATGACAATCGGCCCATCTTTCTGCAAAGCAGCTATGAGGCCAGTGTCCCCGAGGACATTCCTGAGGGCCACAGCATTGTGCAGGTAAGGTGGCCATGGCCCCCTGGGGCAGCTGGCGGGCTGGAGGCAGGCTCAGCCGCGCTCAGGTCTGAGTGCACAGGCTCAGTGGCACTGTGGCAGGGAGGGACAGCTGCTACGCCCAAAGCAGCCAGTGCTGTGGGGAAAGGGGGATCCAGGCCTCTCTTCTCTTCCCGGGAGAGTAGGCCCCCAGGGTATATACCTGAGGACAGGGCCCCGGCTCCCCAAAGAGCAGAAGGAACGCCTTGGCCCTCCTCTTTTCCCCCCTCCCTCCCAGCCCTCTCCTCGTCCCCCACCCCACCAGCAGGGCCTTTCAGAGCCGGGAGGAGATGGCAATGTCACATTTTCCCGGAAAGGCGTTAAGGAGAGAGCCTGGGCCCAGCGAGGCCCAGAACAGAGCGGCTTTCATGGGGCCCTTGGCCGAAGCTCCCCTTTTGGGAAGTAAACAGACACAAGAAGAAAGGGAGCAGACTCAGAGGGAGAATGGGCAGGACCTGAAAACGAGGCTGGGACGCCCTCCCCCAGCGCCGGGAGGCCTCAGTTGCTGGGCGGGGAGGGGAGCCAGGAATGAATTACCCTCTTCAGCAGCAAAGCTTTCCGACTTGGAGGCTGAGCCAAACACAGCAAATCCAGGCCTGTCCTCTAGGGCGGGCTCCGAGCTCGGGAGGCTGGGAGTGTGCCTGCCCTCCTGCAGCAGGACCCGGAAGGGGGCAGGAACAGGTCTCAGAGCAGGATCCTGACTCCCAGTGGCACCCAGAGTCAAGGAAGCCATGGGCATTTGCAAGGGTCTGGGGCTGGTTCCAGAAAGAGGAACGGGGAGGTTCCGTCCCTCTGGGCCTCCACTCCTGGGCTTGCAGAGCCCTAGCGTAATACCTACCACTCAGGGTCACTGCCAGGTCTCCCAGGGCCAGCCTGGGAACACACCTGGTGGCAAGGCCAGACCTTTGAGAGCCCCCCGCCCCATCCCCAGCCTTTCCTTCTCCTTCAGGCCTCAGGGCAGCCTTACCCATCACCCCTAGTGTCCAGGAAGAGAACAGCGAGGTCCAAGCAGGGCACCTGGCCAGGGGATGACAGGGTGACTGACTGTAGGCAGACTTCACCTGGGATCTCTCAGGGAGGCCCTAGGAGAGGGAACCAGGAAGAGGCTAACAGGGTGGAAGGGAGGGGGCAACAGCCCTTTGGGAGGCGGCCTGCCCTACTTTCTAAACTCGAAGAATTGTTTTCTATTACACAACACTCCTCGGGCAGAAATCCTAGAACCCATGAGTAAGACAAGGTAGCCCTGATTCTCCCCATTTCTAGGAGAAATTCAGGAACTAGCGACTTCTCCAAGGCCCTGGAAGTAAGTTTCTGGCTAAGTGGGACTTACCCTCTGATGTCACATTGACCTGGAAGGAAGGCTTCTCCAACAGGGCCTGCTCGCAGAGAGAGCTTCTCTCTAGAGGCATCCGAGGGAAGAAGAGGGCTTCCCCAGGACTCCTTAGGCTTTGGGGGAGTGGAGGGGGATGCACCCCTACTAGGCCTCCCTTCACTCTCTGAACAGACCCTCATACTTTCCATGCTGTAGCTGGTAAGGCAGAGGAAGAGTTTGGACACACTCTCACCCTCTGCAAGCTCCCGGGATCATAGGAAGGAGAAGACATAGACAAGGATGACCCACACTGCCAAGAGGAAGTGACCCCTGCCTGCCTTCCTTCCCAGAGGTGCTAGGAATAGGGGTGGCTCCAAGCAGGAGGTGGCTTTCAGCTGGAGGACAAAGAGGGCTTCGCTGAGGACGTGCCTTGTGAAGCATAAGGCACAGCCAGGGGAGGATATGCAGTGCAGTTTGCTTCATGTCTTGGGGCAAGATGAGGCTAGAAAGATAGTTCGGAGGCCGCTCCCAGAGGTCACTGAACACCCGACTAAGGAGCTCTGGCTTTATCCAGCCAGCAGTAGGGAGTCAGTAGTGGATTTGTTGCTGGGACGTGGTAAAACTAGAGCTCAGTCCTTGAGACCTGGCTGGCTGCACTGTGGGTCAGAGCAGGGTTGAGTGGACAGCCCCGTGGCAGAGCACAAGGTGGCTCTGGCCAGCTGACTCTCTAGGGCAGGAGCTAGGCAGGTCAGACCCCCTCTGCCTATTCTCCAAATGTGGGATCCAACCAAAGTATAGAACCCTGGCCTTGTGGGGAGAGGCTGAGGATTAGAGATCCCGAGAAGCCCACCCTGGGGTGGGATTGCTTCAGCAGGTAGTCAGTCAACGAGGCAATCACCAAAAAGACAGCATCCTAGTGAGGTCCAGACCTGAGGTTCCACAGCTGTCCTGGAGAGGTCTGGACCCTCCCACCCAAGGGGAGGCTGCCCCCTTCCCTTGATGAAGGCATGAAGCCACTGTGGTGTAGCCTCAGATCCTAGGTGGCATCACCTCCAGCTGCTGACAGTGCATCCTGTCACTCTGACGCAGCAACCGTCCTGGCTTCTGCAAGGAACTTCTTAATGCATCATCAGGCCCTTCCTGAGCCATCCTGACGTGGGTGCCTTGAAGGGGGACCAACAAGATCACAAGAGCTAGGATGTCTCGAGAGCCTCACCTGCCCCTCCACCAAGGGTGCCAGCTGCTCCTCTGGATTACTGGGTGAATGCTGGCAGGGCCCAGGACATCTGAGGAGAGGAGTCCCTGGATTCTCTTCTGCCTTGGGTTCTGAGTTGGCCCAGAGGGCAGAACAGTATCATGCCCTCAGTGTGGGCTGAGTATTTTGCTTGGCTGTAGGAAAACGTTGACCATTTGGCAACTCACGCTGGAATCCAAGCTGGGTTTTGGCATTGGAGAGTGGGCAGGGCTTCTGCTGGGAAGCAAGGGCACTGGTTCCTGGGCATGGTAGGCACCTGGTTGCCAGAGACGGACCCTGGGGAGCCAGGTTGTACTGTTCAGAGCCACGGACCATGCATCCAGATGGCTGCAGGTTCTCCACAATTGATCCAGCAATCTTTCAGCAGGCAGCAGCTAGAAGGTCTGCAGAGAGGAAGGTATTCTTCCAGGGACTGTCTCTGAGAAAGGCCATGGGCCTGGCACACAGGGAACCACCGGGGGCTAGCACATGGCCCAGGGCGTGTGGGCCGCTGCCCTCCTGCAGCCTGTGGTGCCATGCTGTGTATGAGGGAGGAGGATTGTGGGTAGATCCTGGAAGAGAGGGGGGAACCCCTTCACATCATCACATCTTGGTAGATTCTGTGCAGTCCCAGCCATGGTTGTCCTCGTGGTCTGGCAGAGGACGTCGAGGAGAGGGCCGGCCACGGCGGAAGCTATGCAGGGAGCAGCGCAGAGACCCCAGGCGTTTCCAGAGCCGGAGCTGGGGCTCACTGGAGCTCCCGGGGTGGTGGGGCATGCACTCGCGAGCCTGGCGGCTCGGGTCCAGTGCGGCTGGTTTGCAGAACGTCATGAATAGCAGGCAGGTGGCCAGGAGGAGAAAGATGCAGGCCAAGGCAATGAGCACGGGGAGGGGGCCCGCTGCTGCCAAGGGGATCCCCGGAGTGACAGGAGCTGTGAGGAAGGTGAGGGGGCTGGGGCCGTCTGTACTCATGGCTCCTGCAACGAGAGTGGGACAGAAGCTCAGAGGTAGATCAGCTGGACCCAGGGCTGCAGAGGGAGGGGAACACTGATGGAACGCTGCTAAACGAGCTGCAGATAGCAGCACAGCCATTGTACAGTGAGGCCCACAGAGGTGACAAGTCTAAGGTCACAGAGTGGATAAGCAATGGAGCTGGGCCTGAACTCAGGTCCTCCTCCTGCTATGTAGACCTTCCTTCCAGCCTGTGCAGGAGACAGAAGAGCAATGCCCTCCAGCATTTTAAAATCAATTCTCATGAGTTACAATAGAGTCTTGGACCTGAGAACTTGGGATCTAAGACCAGCTCCATCAGTAAGTTGCTCTGTGACCCGGAATGAGTCATGAATTATAGGACCTTGCAGCTGGCAGAAACTATAGCAATTACCTGATGCCAAGGCTACAAACCGGGGGCGCATCAGTGTGTTTCATTTGGTTCTTATAGTGTTTTTTTTTTTTATCAATTTGTGACTAGTTTAAAAACCACAAACAAACAAAAAAACTAGAGCTTTCATATAAATATCTGAATGTCTGGTGTCTCTTGAAATTTTAGAATTTCAACACTGGCGACATGGGTCCAGTTGTGCCTGGCACCCCGTGGCTGGGTCTGAGCAGCAGCTGCCCCCGTTATAGAGGACACTGGCCTTTAGCCGACCACACTCCCCACAGGTCCACTGCACACCTTGTGTCACCTCCCTGGCCCTGTGAGCATTCCTGTTGGTGTTTCCTGAGGCAGTCCAACCTGCTCCCATGACAAGTGAGGAAACTGAGGCCCATATAAGGGAAGACCAAGCCAGAGCCATGCTGCGAGCCAGTGGCCAAGCAAAGACCAGAACTAGGCTTCCTTATTCCTGGCCCCATAGCCTCGCCACCCCTCTGGCTCCCAACCCTCTCCCAGGGATCACTGAGCTGCTCTAAGACCAGTGGAAAATAACCCACAGAGAACAATGTCATTGACAGGGTGGGGTTCAACCCCCCTATATACATACCAGTTATCTGTTATCACTTAAGATCATCCCATGAGAGGGAACATGGCAAATGGTCCTTATAGATCAGGCTAAGTGTTTGGTTACCAATAAAAATGCTTACAGAGCCTAGCCAGTAGATAAGGTAGATAACGTGTGACCAAAGAAGACAGGTGAGCAGGTCTACCTGAAGAGTACTCTCAAGGACGTGGAGGCACCTTAGTCGGGCTGATGGAATGCCGCAAGGCAGGCCCAGTATGGTCAGCTCCTCCAGTTTTCCCAAGAAGCCAGAAATCTGGATTTTTTGGCAAATTTGCTGATTTTAAAGGTTGGCAACTAATTCAGATTTGGTTAAGGGGAGAGAGAGAGAAAAAAAAGAGAGAGAGATTACAAAGACCAAACTTGATTCCAAAAAACTCAAAATGAATTTTCAAATATTTCAAACACTAAAACAGGCCAAAGAAAACACATAAGCAGGCTTTGCCGGCCAGCATTTGTGATCTTTGATTTCTGCAAACATAGGATAGGAAATCCCAAAGAAGGCCCAATCATGATCATTTCTTTCTTTTTGACCTTGGAGACTTTTATGAGACTGGAAAGCAGATTAGTCTAACTCACAGTCAGGAGTTGCTAGCACTAACACTCTGTAGGATGAAGGGCTTCAAGTCACACCAACGCTCTGCAGGGGGCTAGAGTCCCAGGTCGGCAGGGAGTGGAGAGAGGCCACCCCACCCCCACCCTCCTGAGTCCCTGTCCCCACCCCAGGCACTCACCAGCAGCTGTAGGACCTAACTCCCGGCTCCCTGCTCCCAGCCTCCTTCCTGCCTGCAGCCTTGCCTGTGCCCAACGGACTTAGGGCATCCAGTATACCCCACCCCACCTCCCACCCACACCCTAGCACCACTCCTTCCAGCATTTCCAGGCAGAGCACGACCCCTCCCAGCTGGAAACTCTGATGTCCGTCTAGCTGCCCAGGGCCTCTGCCTTGCAGGCATCCCCTAGAGAGCTTTCTGGCTGGGCAGCCTTATGTGGATTGGCCCTTCCTCGAATCTGAGCAGGAAGGAGGGATGGGTTGTGCCCACGGCCATCGCCCACAGGGAGAAAACTGGCTGTCCCTCTATCCCACTCGGCTTTGCTTGGCTGGGATAAGAAAAGGATGGTCTGAAATGGAAGAAGTCTCAATCCTGCTAGTCCTACTGTTATTTCGAGGCCTTCACATGGATCGGGAGACCTCATCAGGTTAGCAAAGCAAGTCCTGGCTTCAGTCCTTGAGGAAGCACTTTAATAAGAAGATAAATGAGGCTGTAATTAGCATCTGAGCAGTTCCCTTGGAAGCAAGAGATTCCAAAGTGTTTGAAAACAACAAGCAGCCCTCCCTGGAAGATTTGCAAGGCCAGCTGCCAGGCCCCCTTGATGCCCGCTCTGACCAGCCAGGCCGGCTGGCTCTTGGTCCACCAGACCAAGGCTAGGAGTCACATTGAGGGCAGGTGAAGTCTCTCCCATACCACTGCAGTCCAAGGCACACTGGCAGGCCCTGCTCTGGACATAGCTCTGCAAACTCAGTCTAGAACCTTCTTTTTTGCCTCAGAGCTCCATAGAGCAGGTCCTATGAGCAGAGGGACTGACCTCAGAGCACATCTTACTGGATGGCCTCAGGCTAGCCACTACCCCTCATTGGGCCTTCTTTCCACTCTCTACATACGCAGAGCAATTCCCCAAGTCTAAGCACACCCACTCATCCTTCCCCAGAGTACCCCAGCAAGATTCTGGCCCCACTTTCCTCACCAGGCCTTCTCCTGCAGTCCCCCAAGCACTGACCTGAGAGCCAGCCCTCAGCGGACCTAAGCCGGTGGAAGTTCTCAGCTGTCCAGAGGAGGCCCGAGGAGCACAGGGTGCCACCCGTGACCCCAGCTTGCCCTGGACTCTGCAGTGCCCTGCGTCTCTCAGTCAGCCAGGCTGGGCAGAGTAGGCTGTCTCCCTTCACTCTCCTGCTTGACCTGGCTTTGTCTGGAAGAGCTTGGGCGCTGCCTTGGGGGAGGGGACACCTAAGAGGGTAGGGATGGCAGCTAGGTTGGGCTGAGGGAGAGGGGAGCTGTGCTCCAGAGCCTGCCCGCGGCCTTATTGTAGCCTGTCTCCTTGGAGCCCTCTCGAGGGGCGGAGGCACTGGGGGAACGCACGGGGGAGGGTTTCAATGCCTCTGCACCCCCGTTACTCTCACCTTCCCCTGTTGGACATTTGAATGGTACAGTCGGGCGGCAGCCAGTGGGTCGCTATTCAGTGCCTGCCAGCCTCCAGGTTACTGGGGAGAGGGGCTCCCGGCAGGAGGGGAATAGGCAGAGAGATGGGCCCTGGTAGCCCCTGAGGCCCCTCCTCCCCTCCTGGTCCTTGGGCCCCTCACCTTCCAGCCTTCTCCATAAACTTCCCAGAAAAGTATTTTTCCTTTGAACGTGTCTGGTTACAAAAGTGAGGGGTGAGAGGCATTTTCAAAGGTCAAAGAGATCACAGGGCAGAAAGCCTAGGATTGAAGGACAGCTGAGGCTGTGCTCCTCACAGCCCTCTGGGTGGGCCCTTTGGAGACCCTCCAGGCATTGGCTGTCCCCACACCACACCACACACACACACACACACACACACACACACACACACACACACACACACGGTGACACCCTCTCCCAGCCTCCTCTCTTCCCTGAAGACTGAGCTGCCCTGGCAACCAGCTGCCTGTTTAGGAGCCTAAGTCTTAAGCAGCTTCTCCAGCAAGGACGCCCAAGCTCTCAGAAATACAACATGGGTTGGAGGGAGTTGCGGCTCTGCCCAAGACCTGAGCCTGGGGCTCACCCCCTTTTAGAGAACCCTAATTTTTGGTATTTAGCTTCTTCCTCCCGCCCTTAGCCCCTGACCACAAAAGAAGCATTCTCTGCACAGCCCGAAATGGAAGGGAGCCTTCCGTGGACTGTCAAAGTCCATTAAATGACGCAAGTGTCATCTCATCCAGCCCCCTCTCAGATGATAAAACTGAGGTCCAGAGAGGTGTGGCCTGGCCGGGGTCACCCGGTCTAGAAGCAACCACATAACCCACCACTCTAAGTAGTAACTGAGGTTCCTAGGAGCTCAAAAGGCTGAAGGAGGGAACTGTGGGGGTATGGGCAGACCTAGTCAAGCTTGGATCCATCACCCACCTTCTCCCTGCTCTCCCAAAGGACCTGGAGCGAGATCGGGGAGGAGAGCTACAGGTCCCCCGCCATGGACAGCGTGGCGACATCAACAGTCAGGTGTCCTCGTGGGGGACAAGAAAGACAGACATGTCCCCCTTCTCTCCCACACCCCGGGCCCCAGTGGAAGCCACAGGTTTGGGCAGGACGGGCTGGGAGTGGTGTGCAGGGAAGGAGTAAGGCTCCACAAACATCTTCCCTCCCTGTGGAGTGGGGTTCAAGAAATAACCTCATATCTCTTTCTTCCTTAGCTAACAGCCACAGATGCCGACGAGGGCGAGTTTGGCCGTGTGTGGTACCGCATCCTTCAAGGTGAGTGGCCTCAAATACTGTACACACGGGTGGGCCAGAGGGAGGAAACGGGACAGTCTCCTGTCATTCATTTGCACCAAGTTGGATGTCTTTTAAGTGAGGGTGCTGCATTTGATTGCTTTGCTCCTGAAGTTGCTTATGTCCCATGATAGGACATCACCCTAACAGAGGGGGTCTTGGGGACGAGTGCAACCCCCAGCAGTGAGCTCCTCAAAAATTGAGTACCATTGGCTTAACATGTATCATGCACCCATCCGTGAACCAATCACTATGGCCTTAGACATTAGGACAGTGCCCCCCAAGCTTCCCAAAATGATCTCATTGGCCAGCTAAAGTCATGTGATGATCCCTATCCCTGAACCAATCACTATGGCCAGAGACTAAACTATACTGATCTGCTTGCTCCTGGAATCCGGGGTGAAATCACCCCTACACAAAGCACATGGACTAAGAGTGGAGGAGGGCGGATCTCCAGAGGAAAATCAGGGTGCTGTTACCACAAGACAGGGCACTGGGTGCTGGACCAGCCCAGAGATGTCCATGAACTCCTGGCTTCCACCACCCTCAGAGAATCTGGTTTTGATTCCTCTTTCTATAGTGCCCAGATCCCTCTGAAATATTGAACCCACTGACACCTCTGGGTCTCAGAGGATCCCAGGCTTTCCATAAGGAGGGCCCAGGGGAACACCTGTCCCTTCCCTCAAATCCTGCCCGGCCAGGACAGTATGAGGCAGAGGACTGCTGGCCACTGTGGACTTCAGCCAAGCTCCTGAGACCGCCAGTCAGGGTCAGCATGCTAGGGGGCCTGGACTTCCCTTCTTTCCCCTCACACATGATTCTACAAGGATTCTACTTCAGGGCAGAGCCCATGCAGCTCATCTGTCTCTCCACACAGGTAACTATGGCAACTTCTTCGAGATCGATATCGACAGCGGGCTCCTGATGCGAGGGCCCCGGCCCCTGGACCGGGAGCAGGACGCGTCCCACGTGCTGACCGTGGAGGCCTACAACCATGACCTGGGCCCCATGCGGAGTTCCGTCAGGGTGAGGCCAGGGGTGGGCTGGGGTGGCTCTCAGACAACCGGTCGGCAGGTCATGAAGCCCCGCACCCTCTTCAGTGCTGACCTCAGGACTGGGCTAAGGCCGTAGCTGGACTGGAGATGGTCGCCAGGTGGGGCCTGGCAGGGCAAGGCTGCCACTGATGTGGGTGCTGAATGATACCTGGAGCTAGGGGTGCGGTGGAGGTGCCATGCCACAGGCTCAGTCCAGGGACCTTGGCCATGTCATTTTGCTGTTCTTCCAGATGTGGAAAGGGTTCCATGATACTGATGTCTGTCCTAAGGGATAAGAAAGGTACCCTTACCATACGTACCCCTTATATCTGTACCCCTTATATCTGTATAACTCTCTAGGATGAGCCAAAGAAATCTCACATATATGGTCTTAGAGCTGTAGATGTTGCCAACTTCATTTTACAGATGAGGAAACTGAGGCATAGAAAAGTCGTTAGTGACAGACCTCAGAGCCCAGGTCTCTTTGAGCCCAAGTTGGGTGCTCTTTCCACTGAAAGTGTCCCTCAAATATCCCAGCTGCCCTGTCAAATGTATTCTTTTCTGCCCACGCTCACTCACCTGAGGCCTCTCCTCTAGGCAGCTGGAATCAAGTCAACCTTCATCTTCCTGAATGGTCAAAAACAGACACACAAATATCCCCACTGGCTGGGCCGGTTTGCACATGCTCCTGCCAAGTGGCAGGGGGATGACTGAGATAACCTCTCAAGGTCACCCACCCTACTCCCACTGCACACTCAGCAGCTCACAGCCCCTTCCCCTAAACTGGGTGGAAAATGAGTCAGACCCCAAGAGGTGAAGAGTGGGAGGGAGATGGGAAACGTCAGACCGAAGGACTTCTACCCAGAACTGAGTGGGGCAGAATCTACCCCTCTTATCAGCCCCATCTCCACCCGCTGTTTTCCCCAGGCTGGAAACAATGAACAGAGGCCTGTCTGGAGTCACCATCACATGGGGTGCTAGGGACTGGTGACTCAGCCTTGGACCATCCTGCTGGTGTCCCCGAAGCTCTGCCCCAGAAAGAGATGGGACAGGAAACCTGGGTCCTTAGGGCTGCCCATCCAAGTGAGATCTGCCCAGGTGGAGATGGCTGAGAGGGGCAGACCCTCTGGGGTTTTTATGCCTTGGGACTGCTTGGAACAATTTCAGGGCCCCGGTGACTGAGGGTGAAACACAGCTACTTGAACGTGCACCACAGGCAGCCCCACACGTCCACGCTCACCTGTATGACTGTGAATTGCTTATTCACATGATCAACATACACAGACGTCAGAACCTGCACTTTGTGGGGCCAACTTCAGGCCACAGAGTAACTGACATCAGCATAGCTGGGGTTGACTCCCTTTTTTCAGGCTGCCTGGCCACAACTCTCCTTAGAGCAGGTCCACACCCTCACTCCACACCCTCCCAGGAGCAGGTCAGCACCTCTGCTCCTGTCAGTGCCTCAGTATGGTGGCTACAAACCTTTGTTAGCCACAAACCTTTTTTTAAAAAAAATGGTAGGCACTGTGTAAAACAGATCAAAGCCAGGCTGTGCCAGTCGGGTGCAGGGATGGGACAGCCAGAGCCACCCCTGCTTAGCCACCCTCCCCTTGCTCTTCTCCTCAGGAGCCCTGAGGAATAACAAACCCTCATATAGCACTAAGTCTGTGCCAGGGACTTTCCTAAGTGCTTTGTGTACTTGAACTCATTTAATCCTCATAGCAGCCCTATGAGATAGGCACTGCTATTATACCCGTTTTATAGATGAAGAGATTGAGGCAAAAAGGGATTAGCCCACATGGTTAGGTCACGCAGCAGTAAAGGAGGAGCCAGGCTTCACACCTGGCAGTCAGCTCAGGCCTGTTCTCTTAACCACTGCCCTACGATGCCTCACACAAGGCTCTTCAGAGCACACAGACCACTGCTGCCTTATCCCCAAAGAGTCATTTTGAGGTGGGGATTTGGAAGCTGGCCCCTGTGGCGGGGGCTAGATGGCTCTTTTGATACACAGTCCTCACACCCCTGAGCCCCAGGAAAGCCAGGACCTTCCTGGAGACGATGTGGGGACTCCATCTTTGCCCTGGGTTCATTTTCTCAGGAAACCATCCACATTTCTCCTGTTGCTGCCTCAGTGAACAGGGACAGCCCAGATGGAAGGGCCAGGGAGCACAGAGCAACATGTTCCTTGTGGAGACTGCGGGCCTCAGGTGCACATCGCAAGTACACACACACACACACACACACACACACACACACGCACACGCTTGCACACACATTTCCTGTCTGGTCCCTGTCACAGGGCACAGCAATGGACGGAAAGTAGAGCTGGTACTCCTCAGGGCCCAGTAACTCAGTAGCTGAGCCCTCCTGCTCAGCAAGAATTTGGCAACCCTGTGTGTTTCCTGTACATCTGTGTCTCTCAGGTTTGCAAACCACACACCATTTTGCCCTTCTGCCTCTGCTGCTAAAAACAAGCTGAAACCAACAGGAGGAGAGTGGCACGCAGCCAGCCTCCTGGAGGATGGGCCACACCCAGGCTCCACGCTACCTCCATCCACTTGTTATCGTACTCAGACTAGCCCTGTGTTTTCCCCACGACCCTTGGAGTCAAAGCCATTTGGACAAGCAGACTCGGGAAGGGGAAGGCTCACAGTTTTGAAAGATGGATAGTTAGTTTCTGTTTACAGAAAGAGAGCTCCCGAAATGCAACCATACAAATCCCCACCCCCACCACCACCCCCCAGGGGATTCTCATGCTCACCAAAGCTTGAGAACCACTGAGTTCTGTTTTGGTACAAAATCAGTGGATCATCCCCGCCCTCACCCACCCAGGATCGCCCCAGCCAAGTTCTTGGGGAAGCCAAACTTAGAAGGTTTCTGCTTGTGAGCATCTGTGCAGTAGAGTGGGCACTTTAGTTTGCATAGTGGGTTCTGGGTGTCTGGACATGAAAATTTGATGACACAGCAGGGTTGCAGGAACCCCAGGAGCAGGGAAGTAGAGAAACCTTTATCCCCATGTGCCCCCTCCTCCCTCCAGCCCTGTCACCCCATCCACCTCAGAGTTTCCACCATTCAGGCCACCATTTCTGCTTATACCAACAGAAGCCCTTTACTTCTCTCCAGCTAATGCCCAGCTAAACCCAGAACAGAAGCCAGGGCTGATCCCAGCAGCAGTGTTCAATCAGAAACCAAATATTCATGCTTTCAAATAGCCTGTGCCTCAGGGCCCCGCCATTACTGCTGTGACCACGTGTGAAATCTGTGTCATGCATCATTGCCCCTGGCCCATTTGTTCCCCCCTCCGCTCTGCTGGCAAGCTCTGCTGGCCCTGGTTCTCATAGGCTGGAAGGAGGGTGTATCTCCTGTTCTGAGGCCAGCTTGTCCCCAGGATAGAGTGAAGAGCAGTAAGGTTGGCAGATTGGGAACCAGGAGAACGCTGCCTCTCTTTCCAGCTCTCTCAATTACCATGAGGCCATGAGCAAGTCCCTCCCCATCTCTGGGCCTCTGTTCCCCTATCTGGGAAAGAAGGAGAAACCTGGGCCTCCGTACAGCTCCTTAGCACCAGTACCCTGTGGCTTAGCTCCCCTCCCCACCACACTGGTCCTTCTGGACACGGCCCTGGTCCTGTCCATGCCTGGGCCACACCCTACCCATGCTCCTGTGTGTGTGAGGGGCGGAGGCAAGTGATGTGGCAAAAAGAAGTTTACATCTCCCCATAAACATCTTTTAAATGGTTTTGTTTTTTGTTATGTAAGACATACGTATTCATTAAAGAGACATTAGAAAGTACAAATAAGCAGTGATGAAAATTATTATTCCACAATTCAGAAATAGCCTCTGTTTGGGCGGTAGTGCCCGGAAGCAAATCCCGACACAAGGATGAGTGTGAAAGTGATTAATAGGAAGCATCTTCGGGAATAGCCGAAAGGGATGTGAGATCAGAAAGGAAAGGCAGCTAGAAAGTAGCACAGAGGGAACTGGGACTGAGTCCCATAGGAAGCTCTGGAGAGAGTCACCTCAGTTGCCCTAATCAGGTCCCGGGAGCCAACATGTTTATACTGTGCACCCATCAGTCAGTGACTAAGGGGCTACCCCAGGAGACATAATTCCCAGGCACTTCCAGCTGTGTGGGAATGTGGGTCCCAGCAGCCTAAGTGGGTGCTGACCATGGCAGCGGGAACACCCAGAGAAGGTGCCTGAGAATCTAGAGGGGTCTGAGAACTGACATCCTCTGCTACAACCATAATTAACATTTTTATGCCTGTTCTCCCAGACACATTTTGGTCTTTGAATGGGGTCACTTTAAACCTTTTCAAGCACTTTTGCAGGGCCTGGCTCATTTTGTCTTCATAACAACCCTAGGAGTGACACGGGGCATGAATTATTATATCGATTTTACTGTTTCATAACTGAGAAACTTGATGGCTCAGAAGATTCACTGATTAGTCACAGGTTCCCACGGGGTTAGTAGCAGAGCCAAGAGAAAGATAAGGTCCGTTCTTTAACAAGTGACATTTGAGCATCTGCCGTGTGCCAGGTACTGTGCAAGGTGGGAGGACACAGTGACCAACTAGACAGCCTCACTGACCCTGTGCCCCTGGCCCGGCTCCTACAGGTAATAGTGTATGTAGAGGACGTCAACGACGAGGCCCCCGTCTTCACGCAGCAGCAGTACAGCCGCCTGGCGCTTCGAGAGACCGCGGGCATCGGCACATCGGTCCTCGTCGTTCGTGCCACAGACCGAGACACTGGTGAGGCCAACAGGGGCAGCCAGGGAGCCCCATTCCCCAGAGTCACCCTCCCCCCGCTTATCCCTCCTGCTCCTGTGGGGCCTGTCATCCTTTGGATTCCTCAGGCTCCCCCATTCAGTGGCTTCCAGGCCAGGGAGGGGCTCCTGGGATAGTCTTGGTGACATCGTCACCAGATGCCCAGGCCTAGGAAGGCCAGGGTCAAGGGGAGTTGTCCCAGTCTCCAGATTGAGAGTGGGGCGGCCACTAGCTTGGGAAGTCCAGATCTGTCATCACAGGACCCCCAGCAGCTCCCAGCTCGCCTTTGGCGAGGGGCTGGGCAGGGCTGGGAGAGGTGAAGGACTTGTCAGGAAGCCCCCTGGAGAGGCTCCCGGAGCTGCTCCTGGTTTCCCAGTTCCTGTCCTTCCTTCATGTCCACTGTCCTGGTGGCTCCCAGCCCAGCCCCACCCCTGTCAACATCCCCAGCTCACCTGGGGCACGGAATGGGGTGGAAGGAGAAATTGGCCTGATTTCTCTCAGGTGGATTGCTCTCCCTTACGTGGCACATGTATACAGCTCAGGTCACATCCATCACAGTGGCCCAGTGGTTCATGACTCTTTCTGGGTCAGGAATCCCTTTGAGAAATGAGTGAAAGCTATTGATCCCTCCCCAGAAAAATTCAGAGTGTTGAAAACCATTTCAAGGAAGTCTGGGATTTCCTGAGTGGTATTATGACCACGCCCCTCAAAGTCTACGGACTTCAGCCAGGAATCCCACCTCTAGCTCCTGGATGAAGGGTGTATTTCAGAGATTTGGGGTACAGGAGTCGGGGGAACAGGGGGAGGTATCTCTGTAGCTGGAACTCTTCAGCTGGAGGGACCCAGTGAAGGCTTGGCCACCTCTGAAGATGCTGCCCCTGGTGACCTAACACTTTCTAGATCAGTGCCCCCGCTACTTGAGATCCATAATTTCCCTACCATCTCTTTTTCCACATACACAAGGGAGGTGCTTGAGCTTAAATTTTGAAGTTCCAGAAGTAAAACAACCCCTCCGGCATACCCCTCCTGCCCAGACCGGCCCCAGAGGGGGCCAGCAGTGTGTTCTGGGTCTTGCCATCCACGTGGACTTTGATCCTGCCCTCTGCTGCACGCCTTGGGACAAGCCGGCCCACAGGTGGGGGGTGGTATGCTCTGGGTAGGCCAGCTAAGGCCCCTCACCCCGTCCCCCCAGGGACAGCAGTGTGTGTGCTGTGGGCAGCCCTACCCCCATCCGTGACTGTACAACCTCCTGCATCCTCCTGCAGGGCCCGGTGGCCTGGTCACCTACCGCATCTTGTCAGGCGCGGAGGGGAAGTTTGAGATTGATGAGAGCACAGGGCTCATCACCACCGTGGATTACCTGGACTACGAGACCAAGACCAGCTACCTGATGAACGTGTCTGCCACCGACCAGGCACCCCCCTTCAACCAGGGCTTCTGCACCGTCTACATCACTTTGCTCAATGAGCTGGATGAGCCCGTGCAGTTCTCCAATGCCTCCTATGAGATTGCCATCTTGGAGAACCTGGCACTGGGCACCGAGATTGTGCGGGTCCAGGCCTACTCCCCTGACAACATCAACCCGATCACCTATCGCTTTGACACCTACACCAGCGCCCAGGCCAAAGGCCTCTTCAAGATAGATTCCTTCACGGTGAGGGAGGCTGGGGCCAGACACAGCAAAGGCTCAATCCTTTTAAAGTTAACCAACATTTATTGAGCTCCTTCTATATGCATAGCACTCTTTACGTTGTCATAAAGTATCTTTGAGATAAACATCTCTGTAATACATCCCTTTTAATATTTAGGGATTAGATAAAGTTTATACCTAGGCAACCTGATATCCTTCTTGTTACTAGACAATGAAAGCTGTGCAAATATCATGTTTTCCTTTTCACTGTGGCTGTTAGGAAGCTCAGATGTAAATATTGCGCTTTGTTGCAATAGCTAGTTTTAACTAGGTATCTAGTGCTGCAATCTCTTATCTACTGCCTGGATCTTATTCTTTCATCTTTGCTTTAGTGTGTTGTTGTTGTTTTTTATCCAAATCCCTTCTTTGAAAAATAGGCAAGGTAATAATCACTGCAATGGGCCAGGCCTTGTCCTGGGGCACATTGGGAACACAAAGATGAACAAGACCTCCCCCAGGCCTCAAAGAGTTCTAAGGCTAGGAGTAGAAGTGGGAATAGTCAAGGATGCAAATCAGAGCATCACAAGGGAAGATGTGAAAAGAACAACAGAGGTATAGTGGAGTTCCCTTGGAGCCAAATAACAGAGCGTTTAAACCTGGCTGGGGAAGCAGGAAACCTACATGAAAGAGGTGGTGTCTCAGTGGGAATGAGAGAAGTAGGATTTTAACCTACGGAGCTTCATGGAGAAGTTATGCCAGGCAGAGGGAGTGATGTGAAGGTCGGACAGTGGGCAGAGTGTTCAGGATTAGCGAGGGGTCTGGTTTGGCTGCAGCAGGGGACTGCTTGGGGGCAGCGCGGGCTCTGACTGGTGGGTGCAGTGTTGCCATTTGAACATCTGGCCTCCATCCTGCAGGGTGTGATCACAGTCAAAGGCCTGGTAGACCGGGAAAAAGCTGACTTCCACACCTTGACAGTGGTGGCAGACGACGGCGGCTCCAAAGTAGATTCCACTGCGGTGAGTGGGTCCCCGGCTGAGAGCCCCATTGGTGTAGCCTGTCACTGCCCCAAGTCACCCCAAAACCCACATCTTCACCAGCCAACGTGTAGGCCAGGCAGTAGGCAAGGCAGTAGCCCAGGGGCAGTGCTGTGGCTGGTCATGCCATACCTTTCAGAGCTGCCTGGGGCTGGGATGAGACCTCAGACAGGCGGGGTGCGGGAGCCTTCTCCAAAGACCCCTGTTTGGAGTGTGTGTGGGGCAGGGGGGCTGGAAGAGCTGCCGTCTGCTAACTGCCTACATCTTTGCCTTTTCTCTCCCTTGGCCTCCTGCCGTCTCCGCCTACAGAAGGTGAGTAGCCTGGGGACTGGGGATCTCCCTGGTGCTGTTGGCTGTGGCCAGTGCTAGCTCGGGCTCTGTGTGGCACTGGACCTTCCTACCTCCCCTGGAGAGACGACACGTGGACAGACCTGCAGCAGGTCCCTGCTCAGACCCTTCACAACCGTCCCAGTTCACCCACTCTCACTTGAGTCCAAGCCCCTCTCAGACGCATACCCCGTGTCCAGCTCTGCTGTGTCTGCCCTCCTTGTCCTGCCGAGCCCCCATGGGATCTTGGGGTGGGGGTGGGAGTGCTAACAAGGAACAAGTGGAATACACAGTGAAAGAAACACTGAGGCCTCATCCCAGCTCTACCCCTCCCCAGCTGTGTGACACAGGCAAGTTTCTCAACCTCTCTGTGCTGCCTTTCCTTGGGGTCTAAAATGAGGATCACGCCAGCAGCTCTGCCTCCTTCGGATGATGTGATGAAGATGGCAGGAGATGGTGGATAGGAAGCCCCCTGTAAACTAGTCTTGGAGAAGGGTGCTATAGGAGTGATCTCTGTAAAGGGGGTTGGTGTAAGGAGCATTATACTGCAGTGTATGGAAGGCGGAGCGCACAGTGCCAGGGTCTGGGGAGAGCTGGGTAAGGTGTGAGCCATCCTCCTCCAGGACTCTAAATAAAGGCAGGGAGACCATGTGCTGGGAGCACTACAGGGAGGGCGACTCCTGAGGTCAGAGGTGTCTGGCAAGGGTCCTAGGAGGGTGAGAGAGATGGGAGAGGCAGGCAGGTGACCTCAGGCTGGGTGTCGAAATCAGGATGAGCTCCAAGGGAGGAGGGGTCCACTCGGATGGCACCCTGCAGTGATAATAATAACATTTAGCAACTGATTTGGCTTGGGCACCGGCCAGTCAGGTCTGAGGCCATCTGTAGACCATGTGGGGTGCCCCGTTCATCATCAGCCTTGGTTACGGCCACATTTTCACTCCCTGCTGGGTCCCTGTCACATCAGTCTGAAGGGATAGGAGCCAGCTGAGTATGCAGGCTAAGAGTCGAACGCAGCTGCTTGTGGTCCTTTGCCCTACGGCTCCCCAGAGGGCCCTGGCTCCAGTGGCCCTGGTTGTGGCTTGACCACGTCCAAAGCCCTCTCCATCCACAGGACCAGCCTGCGGGTGAGTGAGGCAGTGAGCAGCACTGTGCCCACACAGCTCCCCCCGCCGGGTCCCCCCAGAGGTTCCAGAGGGCAGCTGGTGAGCAGAGCCCTCAGTGGTGGGCAGGTGCCCTGTGCCCTGCAAGTCCTAGCCCCCCCAGCCAGAGGAGCTAAGACTCAGAGAGGTTACCTGAGGCCCCCTCCCTGGACTTCAGCAGCCTCATCTATAAAATAGGCCAGAGGCCCCTTACCCTTGTTGTCATGAGGCGCCCAGGAGCTGAGGACAGGTGGACACCGCTAAGCAGCTGGGATGCTCCCCCTGAGCTGCGGAAGCCCCTTCGTGGACCAGATCGCCCACTTCCTCTGCGTGGGCTGGCATGGGCCTCTCAGAGTACATGCTTCTGCACAGTCCCCTGTATTTCCACAGCTGCTTCACCCTCTTCCAGGAAGCAGGACCCCTACCCTTTTGCTCTGCCCTGGCTTCCTCTCAGAGGCTCCTGGGGCCAATGCCCCCAGATATGCCAGCCCTGTTAGTCCTAAAATTGTTAGAGGTGGTAGGGTGGAGGCAGGCTGAGGGACCTTTTAGAGATGCTACCATTTCCTCCGTGAGGCCGGAACCCCAAACCACAGCTCACCTACACCTGACTCCTCCCAGCCGCTGAGAGGGGTGGAGAGGCAGCAGGAAGGGACAGGTTGCGGGGCGGGGGGGGGGCGGATAGCTCTGCTGTAAAAGTTCTTGACTATAACACCCTCAGGCCCTAAGGGGATGGAGCAGGGAGATCTGGACCAAGAGGCCCTGACGGGGAACACAGACTCATGTCTAATTCCCATTGACCTTGGCACCTACCCTCCCGCCTCATCCGCTGAGGCTGACTCCCGCTGCTGATGGGACCTCACAAAAATCATGATCATTAGAGTAGTAATCATAGACGGAGCACCTGCTATGGGCCAGGCTCTGGGCTGGGCTCAAGGTAGAACAGGAAACCAAAATCAGACACAGCCCCTGCCTATGCATGCATAAGATATAGTGAGGGAAAGACACTGATCTCCATACAATAAATGTATGGGAAGAGAGAGAGAGAGAGAGAGAGAGAGAGAGAGAGAGAGCGCGCAAGCCTATAGTATGATGTCAGGAAAATCGAGGAGGGCTTCCCTGAGGAAGTAACTCAAGCTGAGATCCCCAGAAAGCATAGCAGTTTCCACAGCCAAGAAATAAGAGCATTTCAGGCAGCGGAAACATGTACACAGGCCCCGTAGTGGGAGGGGAGCATGAAGAGCCCTAACAAAGCCTTGACCCACGTGGAAGAGTTTGGGAGGGATCAGAGCACAGGAGTCTTGTTTGTTTCTGCCTTGGGAACAGCGTGGTGGGTATTATTATGCCCATTTCACAGGTGAACATACTGGGGTTCCAGGACATCACAGAAATCCCTGACGAAAATTTATGATGGATGGGCAGAGTCTTGCCAGGCAAGAAGCAGGACAGGGACCACCACGCGTCACCCTTTACCTTTTTGTTTGCTCGTTTATACCCCCGCCCCCCCGTATCCCAGTGCTATAGGTGTTCTTGTTCCTATTTTCAGCTGAGAAAATTGAAAATCAGAGAGGTTGAGTAACTTTCCAAAATTGCACAGTTAGTAAGTGGTGGAGCTGGTCCTGCTATGAAGCCTGGGCTCGTTGCCTTGTGGTTTTAAAAGTTGCCTAAAGCAGGGGAGCATGGCTAAGACCGAGAAGAGGGAAACCCTGATTAGGAGGGAGGATGAAATGAATCTCCTCCAGAAGTTCCACAGGCTTCTTATGGGGTCCTGTGGGGAGGAGGCTCAGGCAGGCACGGGATCCCTAAAACTTGAGCCGCCTCCTACCCACCGCAACGCCCTCATTAGGGAACCTAGGTGGCACCTGTGTTTCCAGCCTGTGGTCACCCATGGGCTGGAGGCTGCACCCACAGCAAAGCTTTCTCTCTGGCTGATTCTCCAGACCCTGCAGGAGAGACCTGAGCTGTAGACACAAAACAATGTGCTCTGTGCGTGTTTCTGGTTGTTCTCTGGCATTTGGAAATCCCCTTCCCTTCCCCATCTGCCCTCTCCCCACAGAGACCGCCAAGCCACCTTGTGGCCCTCCTCCTCCTGGGCCCTGTTTCTTCCCTCTGGTCCGGAGGTGCGAAGGAAGAAGCCTTCGGGCAATATCTGGCTGCCAGATGCGCTGTAGCCAGCCTGCGCGTGATTTTTTTTTCTTTAATTTTTATTAATCACCACCTAATTCCACATAAAAATCTGTATTCCTAGTTCCACTTGAAAAACAGGAAGCTATGCCGTTGCCAAGCAGGCACTCCCTCATGGATTTGGAGCTAAGTAGCCTCCGTCCCCTTGGCTAGGGCCCAGCCTTCCAGTTCTCGGAGGCACACGCCCTCTGAGCTCCTCCAGACCTCCTCCCTTGCTGTCCCAGCCCCAGCGTTTGAATGTGTGCAGCCCTCCCCGACCAGACTCCTAGAAGAAATATGCTCAGGGCCTCTGTGTAGGGTCAGGATTGGTCTAGGCAGACTGAAAGATAGCTGGCATTCCAGAACCAATCAGAGGTTTGGTCCCCGATGGACACATGGTGGGGCTCCAGTGTTTGCGGCTGGGGAGGAGAAGGAGGCAGTAGGTTTCTGGCCATGTCCACCCTTTCTCCAGGTCTATATCACTGTGCTGGATGAAAATGACAACAGCCCCCGGTTCGACCCCACCTCCGACTCGATGATCAGCGTGCCTGAGGACTGCCCCGTGGGCCAGCGTGTGGCAACCGTCAAGGCCCACGACCCCGATGCTGGCAGCAATGGGCAGGTGGGCATCAAGTGAAGTAACCCGGATCCACCTGCCCGTCGGGGGCTCCCACAGCCCTTCAGCTGGAGGGGGCCATCTAAGCAATCCCATCACTGAGCGGGAAGGCGTCGTCCAGGCTCTGCCCAGTGCCCGGCAGGACCACCCTGCCCTCCCCCGTCTGTGGTTAGGAAAAGAAGGGAGAGCTGTGCCGGCAGTTGGCACTGCCCGGGATGCATGAACGTGGACCGCGAAGGCCAGCCACAGCTCACCCGCCCCCTCCACACCCCCCAGCCAGCTGAAAGCCCGGTGACTCCTTCATCACCTTTATTCACAAACGACATAGCATCTGGCCCCTGTGTGCCAGCACTGGGGCCAGCCCTCCCCACCCGACCCCAGGTCCCAGAGAGGACAAGCCCCTCCTCCCTCTGCTTCTCAGGCCCATCCCACAGCGGGAAGTGCTCCCCATACCCTAGGTTTGGATACCCCTAGAACACAAGACGGGGCAATAGAGCACTTCAGCCTTCGCGCTGCTTTGATCTGTCCTGTGAATCGAGTGGCATCGCTTAAAAGTGCTAGCACACCTCTGGGGGACCGAAAGATGGTGGCTTTGGGGTCAGAAGCACGTGGGTTCAAACCCTCATTCTCTTGGGCACTTGTAAGCTGTGTGACCAGTTTACCTGTCACGGGGAGCTGTCATCACGTCTGTGAACTAGAGAGGACAGCTCCCCGTGACAGGGTTGTTGTCTGTGTCACACCAGGGCGTGCGCCTGCTCCTAGCGGGCCCCAGAAGTGTCTGCACGTCCCACCTGCCCTGGGAAGTGTCAGTGCTGTGGGACCCACAGCTGCCTTCTGGCCTCGAGGCCAGCGTGCTGACTCCCCCGCCCAGGAGCCTGCCACAGGCCCTGCTCCTCAGTGGTCCTGCCACCCCCATTGTGAGAGACATACCCTCTTCCGCGTAACACGTGCTCTTCTCAAATGCCCTTGCTGAGCAGAGGGCCCAGCGGGCAGGGGCGTGCCCCCTGGCCTGACCTGGCCACCTGTCCTCCCTGCTTCCTCCCCCTCACGTTCTCTCCTCCCCGACAGGTGGTTTTCTCCCTGGCCTCGGGCAACATCGCTGGGGCCTTTGAGATTGTCACCACCAACGACTCCGTTGGTGAAGTGTTTGTGGCCAAGCCCCTGGACAGAGAAGAGCTGGACCACTATATCCTCAAGGTGAGGACCAGCCTCCCTCGGGGTCACTGTTGACCGTCCAGGAGAGCACTTGGCCCATCAGCATCCCCTGGTGGTCACCTTCCCTGCTATCACCAAATACCGTGGGACAGGCAGCACCCCTCAGGGCCAGGAACATGAGAGAAGCCGACCCGGGAGAGGGCATCCTGGGAGGAAGCAGCAGAGGTGCCTCTCCCTGCTGTGAGAGCCGGGAGGCAGAGCCTGGTGGAGCTCTGACTCTTCCACAGATGCACTGTGACCTTAGGCAAGTTGTTTACTCTGTCTAGGCCTCAGTTTCCCCGCTTGTACAATGGGCAGCAATACCCCTTCCTGGCCTGCCTCTGCTGAGGCAAGAAATAAGTGCAAGTGTGAGCAGTCACGAGGGCCAGCAGTGTTGCTGAATTGCTGAATAGTTCCTGACGGGTCTCTGGGGATCCCAGGAGGGGCCTGAGCCCCTCGAGCACTCCTGCTGCCCTGTATGCACCTGGGAAGCGTCGAGGCCCCCAGGGACAGGCTCAGGCTGTGGTTAGAACCCCAGTTCATTGCTGAAAAGATTATTTGAGGCTCTTTCTCTGTCTGCCAGAGTTCAGATCTGCGTGCATGAAACAAGGGGCCTTTGAAGCTAAAGGCAGACCCAGAGGCTCAGTCGGGGGCTAGCACAGCCCAGAATACAGTCGGGCAGGATCAGGAGGTGAAGACTAGGCACAGTGGGTCAGGTCGCAAATAAGGGTCCCAGGTCAGACAAGAACTGGGCAAGGATTGTTCGCGGCGTGGGGGCAGAAGGCCAAAGCCTTGGGGAGAGCCCAGAGCTGGCAAGCCACCTGGGGGCAAGGATGGGCCAGTGAGTCTCTGCCCTCCCACTGCTCCTGCCGAGCAGACTCCATATTCCTGACCTTCCCCTATCCTTTAGCCCTGACCCAGTCACCCCCCTCCTTGCAGATCGTGGCATCTGACTGTGGCACCCCTCCACGGAAGAAGGACCGCATCCTACAAGTGACCATCCTGGACGTCAATGACAACCCCCCGGTGATCGAGAGCCCCTTTGGATACAATGTCAGCGTGAATGAGGTGAGGACAGCTCCAGTGACCGTACAGCTGGACATCCATGGTGGACAGTGGACCCAAGCCAACCATGAAACACCGATTGAAATTTCTGCCTGGCCCACTAGTCTCAGAACTGGGGGATGGGCACAGTGGCTTACTCACTCATAATTCTAACCCGAACGCCTAGGCCAGGTCCTGGAATGCAGTATCTCTTTGTGATAGGGGTGAGGAGGAGATGAGAGGGAAAGAAGAAAGTGGCTTTTCACCACCAATAGGGAACTGAGGTTTACCCTGGGAGAACTGTTTTAAATAAAACAACACACTAATCGTTCTGTCCTAAAATTGAGCCCCTCCAGGGGAATTTTTGCCCCAGCATTGCTGGATACTATGCCGGGTTGGACATTCATGAAGGCAGGATGGCGTAGGGATGTAGAGGCCAACCCGCAGGTCAGCCCCCCGCAATTCAGACCCTGGCTCTACCACTGACTGGCTGTGTGACTTGCAAACATTCCTTCTGTCTACCTCCGTTTTCTCATCCGTAAATGGAGATGACACCAGGACCTAACTTGTAGGGTCATCGAGGGGGGTCGGCCCCTACATGTAGTAGGTGCCCACAGAAGGTTCGCCACCATCATCCTTCCCATCGCTCCAGGGTAAACAGCAAAGCTTTCTGGAGGTCCAGGTGCTAGACTTTGCTCCATGGAATCCACCGTGACCTCTTTCCTACTCTCCCCCCAGAACGTGGGCGGAGGTACCGTGGTGGTCCAGGTGAGAGCCACCGACCGTGACATCGGGATCAACAGTGTCCTGTCCTATTACATCACTGAGGGCAATGAGGACATGACCTTCCGCATGGACCGCATCAGTGGCGAGATCACCACACGGCCCGCCCCACCCGACCGCGAACACCAGAGCTTCTACCACCTGGTAGTCACTGTGGAGGATGAGGGAACCCCCACGCTGTCGGTGAGCATTGTGGGGAGCCAAGGGGGCAGGGAGTCAGGGAGAGGGGAAGCCCCGCCTTCTGTGTGAGGGGAACAAGGTGGGAGGAAATGGGCGCTGTGCAGTGGGTGAACCGTTGACAGCTCCTTTGTCGTGCCTTTAGTCCGATGGCCTATGAGTTTTGACGGAGAGCCCACGTGTGCAAAGCTAGGGTGCTAGTTCGCCTGTGTCTGCAGCCAGTCAGAGCCTCTAGACCTCTTTTCCCACAGAGAGCAGCTTTTGGATGGTACAGATTGAGCCTGTATCTCGGGGCCTGGCCAGCCCTCACTCCACTTGCCGAGCTATGTGCCTGTGGGGCCACACTAACCCATATGGTGGTGCTACTATGCCAGGTAGGAAAAGGCACCCTCTGGCCTCTTCCCCTACATCGTGTCCATCACATGTCAGTGCTGGAAGGGGACAATACCTGTGGTCTGGTCTAGTGCTGAACAGGAGGAGCCGCTCGCTACCCAAGGCAATGAGCAAGGTTTGCAAGGTTGGAGAAGGAGGTGGAGGACTTCAGGGCTGGATGGCAAGACAGTTGAGGGGCAATGAGCTGGAGTGGGAGCCGTTTGCAAACTGAGAGTAGGAAATTAGAAGTCAAGCGCATGGTGAGCTGGCTGCATGGTAGCGAACAAGTCAGAACCTCTCAGAATATCAGTTTTGTCATCTGCAAAAGGGAGATGGTATCTCCTTCCTAGGTGTTTTTGGGGGGATTGAATTAGTTCATGTCTGGGGAAGTGCTTGGTAAACCAGGAGGAGGACAACAGCATGAACTATCCATCACCACTGCTGCCTTGCAAACCAAACCAGAGACGCATAAAACAACCATTGATTTCACTCTGATTCTGCAAGCTTGCTATTGAGTCCTGGCTTAGCTGGGCAGTTCTGCTCTTAGCTGGGCTCCTGCATGTGTGTGTGGGGAGGGGGGGCGGTTTAAGGGGGTAGGAGGGCAGCTGTGTATGGATTGTATGGCTGTGCTTCTGGGGGTCAGCTGACTATCGTCTGGGGTGACAGAGCAACCGAGCCACCTCTCTCTCCTCTTCCAGAAGCCTAGCCCATCTTGTTCACATGGAGCTAGAAAGGGGCCAGGAGAGAGCAGAGCATGCCAGGGCTTTTGAGGTCCAAGTTGGGAACTGGAACAGGTTACTTCTGCCACATTCTGTTGGCCAAAGGCAGTCACAAGGCCAACCCAGGTTCAAGATGTAGGAAAGTAAACTCTGTCTTTTGAAGGAATGAGCTACAAAGCCACACTGCAAAGAGAATGGATATGGAGAGGTATAAAGGATTGGGGATATTTTTGTAATCTGTCCACCCTAGGGACCCTGATTGTAAATGAAGCCTCAGCTCTGTCATTCTGCTCCCCAAAAGGTGATTCTGTTAGACCCCTCCACTGTGGACTGTGGGATCAGAGCAGGTCTGGGCTGGCCTTTTTATCTGGAGTATCTTGGGAAGGATGGTGGAATGGGCCCAATCCTAGGAAACCACCTTCTGAGGAGCCTAGGAAATGGGACTGTCATCCTCAGCCCATAGCTGCCCAGTGTCACCACTAATCACTTCAGCCATTCACACCCAGTAGGCCAAACAGAGGCGCATTTATAGGACACATGAGGTGGGGAGGGGGACAGGGAGGATGCCATTTATTGTGGTGACATCAAGGGACTCAGTTTTGACATAATGCCTCCCTAACAGCACCTATCTTCAGGGTGAATAACCTTCTTGGTCATCTTTCCAATAGCATTTAGAGATGTGTTTGGCTACAAGTAATAGAAACTTAACTGTGGAGTCATAAATAAATCAGAATGCATTTTTCTCACATAACAAAAATTATGGAGAGAATGACAAATGTTGATTTTGTGTTCAGTGATGTCAGAACTAAAGCTTCTTGGCTTTTCCCTCATGATTGCAAGATGGCTGCCATAGCTCCAGCCATCATGTCAGCATCAAGTCAGGAAATGACAAAAAGACAAAGAGCTATGCAAGCCATTCTGCCCACTTATCAGGAAAGCACAAGGTTTTCCAGAACTACTCACTAGACTTCTGCTTACGTCTCATTAGCCAGAAGAGGTTCACATGGGCACCCTAGCTGCAAGGGAGGCTGGACAAAATGAGACAGGATTGTCAGGACTGGCTTACTTGGGGGCCAGATATATCCCTATCTCAAACAAGAGCAGGGCTCTGTTAATGAGGAAGAGGTAGAGGATAGGTTTTGGGTGAGCAACTGAGAGCACTTGCCATGCTACTTTCCCTCATCCTGACCTAGGCCAGTAAACCCCCTCTCTTCTCTTGCTCACACCCCACAGTCCTAGAGTTTCCCAGGAAAGCAGACAGTGAGACCCATGACATTCTGAAACCCTGAGTTTGGGAGGCAACTTCTGACTTCCTTTTGGTTCCCAGAAGAAATGACAACTGGAGAACTGGGAAATGGCCCCAGCCACATTTAACCACCCAAAATGGGTGGGCCACTACCCATACAGTCCCTGCAGAAATTGGGACTGGTCCCCATGGCCAGAGAGAGTTTCCCTCTGTTGACCAGACCCTCCAGAGAGATCCAGCCGAGCCCACTGGAGACTGCCTCCTCACATGCAGTCCCCGACATTCTGGCCCTTCTGGAAGATATCGGCCCATACCAGCTCCCTGGGAGAGTGTGGGAAGTTGGGTGGTGAGAAATGCAGCCTCCCTTTCTCTTCCTTCCTCATCCTGGTCATCATCAACACTGCTCCCAGAAAACACCTTCAGGACAACTAGGATCGGGGATGGAGTTCCCTGAGGCCATCACCAGGGGACTATATATATGGCTCCTGTGCTAAAATACCATAATACAGACAAATAGCATCAGGTATCAGCTGGAAAAAGATTTCTAGGAGGAAAACTTTAAATCCAAAAGAATGTATCCCTTCAATTTTTTTTTTCTGTTCCTTCAAGCTGGGAAAGATCTTCGATTTTTGTAGGGGACACCACAGTGAAGAACTGCAGTGACCACCCAGCATAGTTTATTCATTCATCATTTATTTATTCATTCATTCAGCCAATGTTCCCTGAATGCCCACTATGTGCCAGGCACCAGAGATACAGAGATGAAGGCAACATGGTCCCTGCCACAGGGAAATACAGCTGAGTAAGGGAGGCAATGGGGACATCTATGTGTGGGGGCCAAGGTGCAGATGGGGCACTGAGGAGCGCTGAGAAGGGTTTCGCGAAGGCTTCCTGAAGGAGGTGACACCTGGGCTGTCTTGTCACTCAGTCATAGTTAACACAGTAAAGGGGGGGAATCATGTTCTGGCCCTGGGGATCAGCCTGAACAAAGGGCTAAGAACAAGCGCTAATCAGGGGTGGATTTGGGGAGCCTCAGGTAGTTCAGGCCCGTGGCATCATTCAGCGCCGAGAGCAGGGCTCTTTCTCTCCGTATCCTCCCCTTGATATTCTGTATGGGGCATGCACCAAGGGCCGGTCCCACTACTTGCTCAAGCACTTTCTCCACTCCCTCCTGGCCCTGCCAAGCCAGGGTGGGGATGGGGCAGAGCTGGCAAGCTAGGGCCCTGAACCAGTGCCCGGTCAAGATTGGCATTTGCCCTCAAGGAGCACTGGACCCTTGAATATTTGCTTCCGCTGACCAGACTGTCACCTCTGGACAGTGAACCACCCCTAAGTTCATGAGTGCCCCTAAGCACAAACTGAGGGCCCACCCAGAGGTGACCAGAGGAGGGCCCTCGTCTGCTATTGGGCAGATTTCACTGGATGAGTATTCAAGGAAGCAGGATCATGCCAGCCCCTCCTGGACCAGCCGGAGCCCTGAGCAGCATCAGACCAGCCATCCTGAGGTTCCAGGAAAGGTCGCCATGGTCCAATGTTGGTGAGGAGGGTGGGTGCCACCCTGAACATATCTGTCCAGAGATGCCCAGCAGACCTACACACCCACCTGCAATTATCTGCCTGGTTCAAGCCAGCCCTCATTAAGTCACTCATTCATTCACTCATTCATTCATTCAGTGCTAACTGTATGCCAGGCCTGTGCTAGATAGAGGCTAAGAATCAGAGATGAGTTTGACACAGTTCTGCCCTTAAGGAGCCTACAGTCTAGTGGGGGAAATGGATATGTAACAGAGAGCTGACACTCTGTGATGTGCTGGAGTGCTAGGAGCACAGAACCAGGAGCCAGGGGAGGTTTTGTGGACAAGGCATCATTTGCATCCACGTCTTAAAGGATGAGGCTCTCTAAGTAAGGGGCCTGGGATTAGGCTACCAAGAACCTCCCCAAAACCATGAGAAATATTGTATCTGAGCCCTTGCAACTCTTCATTTCTCCCTGGAGCCTCACTTCCCCTCCACGCCCCCTCCAAGTTCCCTGAGAGCCAGACATTCCTGCAGACAACCTAGGCCATCCCCACCTAGCTCTCAGGCCCGTATCACCCAGAGGCTGGACCAGCTGTGCTGCAAGGGGCACCCAGGACAGCCCAGGCCTGTCATACAATGGTGTGCCACCCGGCCAGGGGAAGTCACTGTACAGCCTCAGCCATCTGGCTAGCTGCAGGCCACAGGAAGGGAGGCCAGGCTTGGGGGAGGGATCTAAGTGGCCGCCAGGGAGGCCCTTGCAAGAGGAAGGGCTGGGCAGGAGGAAGGACGGAAGGCAATTGGGAGGTCAGAAGCTCAGCCCCAGCCACAGAGGCACCTTGGCAGGGGGATGGGGAGAGGGAGGGCCTGGCCGGGCCTTTCTGCCACACAAATCACAGCCATCAGGTTAGACAATCCCAAATAACCAGCCCTGGCTTCTCAGGCTCATGGGGACCCGCAGAAGTCACCTGTCTAGGCAGAAGGACAGAAAATCTACCTACTTCTCATACAAGAATTGCCAGCAACAACCCTATGAAAGTCTGTGAGCTGGGGACACTGCTCTTGACAACTCACCTCATATCTTTAGGGCCTAGGGCTCTTCTGTTTATTAAACTTGGACCCCGCTGCTGTTGGGAAGCCTGCTTCCCTTGGCTCAAGCTCCGGAAACCCCAGCCTGGCCCCTTCCCTATGCTGCTCATCAAGCATGCCAGCCTTCCCTGGCCCAGCACAATTAAATGCAGACCCTTCCCTTAGCCTTGCTCCTTGAGGAATGCTATGCAGCTGCTCAGATGCCACACATGCCACTGGCTCAGCTTCTTCAAGGGACCCTGGGGCTCTGCAGTTAACTGAGAGTTTCCCCCTTCCCCATCCCCTGCTGCAGCAAATGGGGTGCGTGGGCCACCACACAGACCAGGAGTCCTGTGACTTCAGGGTTGCCAGGCAGAAAAGGGAAGTGGCAAGAACTAACGTGGAAGGAGTGGAACCATGGGCATGTGGGCACAGGTTCATCTCCCCAGACCCTGGTATATATACTGTAAACAAGTCCAAGTTCTGGCCTGTAATGCCATTCGGTTCAACAAAGAGGAAGGAGCTATGCCTGGGAAGCAGGAGACCCAGGCTTTAGTCCCAGTTCCTCTTTCAAAAGACACAAACCTTTTGAAACCTGTTTCCCAGTGCATTAAATGGAGACAATAAGGCCTCCCAGGGTTTTCCAGTCGGGGAGGGGGAAGTCAAACAAGTAAACACATGTGAAAGTGTTTTGGAAAGCACAGGGTGTTAAAACAGAGAAGGGAAACATATGGCACCCATACTGCCACTTCTCTGTCCTGTGCCCAAGGTAGACATTGCTAGCCAATGTCAGCACTTTATCATTAAGCTGTATCGAGACTTCAGAATCCCTCTCAACATGTATTCCAGGAAGCCATGCCAATAGATCAGAGCTGCGAAACAAAAGGAAACCTCTTTCCCCAGGCCTGCACAAGCTCAGGGAAATTATTGCTGTGGATGAGATCCCACCAGGCCCAGACAAAGCTGCTGGGAAACTGGAGCTGGTGGAAAGTCAGGGGCCGCTCTACCAGTTGTGAGTGGTCCAGCAAACAGAATTCTGGCATCTGGGTTCAGCCCATCACCCAGTGGCTATGCTTCAGTTATCAGTTCTGCAACCAAGTTCAAAGGGCAAGCTATTATTAGATCCCCACCCTCCTGGAACTCATACCCTAACCCTAACCCTAACCCCCAGCACCCGTGCAGGAAAGGCAAGCAACAATGCAAAGCAGGTACAGTGAAGGAGCTAGACAGTTAATGCCCTCTGTGGGTGAGGACCGACTCTCAGCTGGGCTGTGAGTGTCTGCTTCTCAAGGGGCCTTTGCACCCAGCATTCTGGCTGGCAACCCCAGTTCCTCTTTCTGCCTATTGCTGTTCCCTTTAGGTTCCCTGAGCAAATCTTCGCCGGGCCCCAGCACAGTCAGGCCCAGCCTTGCAGTGCTCTAGGAAGGCCTCTTCCACAAGGAAGAAGCCACAGTGCCCAATGGGGGTAGAGGGTGAGGCCTCTGCAGCCCCCAGCCCCCCAGTGTCCTCCTGAGTCCTCCCACCACAGACCACTCCCTAAAGAAGGCAATGCCTCAGTCCCCCTGCCCCAGACTACTGTGTGTAGGAGGGAGCCCAGGCCAGGCAGGAGAGAGGGCAGCCCCAGGGCTGGTCTTTTGAGAAGCAGGCCCTGTTGTTCTTACACGCTTACCCCAGTGTCCATCACCACAGACCCCCTGGCAGGGCCAGCCTGACCCAACAGCAGCATCTCCAGTGGCCTCTATGGCATATTTTCAAGGAGTGTCAATTCCATTCCTTTGGAGGGGATAGAGGCAGGAGTCATTATTAAATGTGAACGTTGGGAGATAAGTTACAGGCCCCATAATTCCTGATACATCTCTGAACAATGACTTAGTGCCCAAAAGCCCAGGTTTCCTTCCCGGGGCCTTAGACAGCGTTGTGGTTCATGAGCCTCCTGCCTCAATCCCACCGTGACCAGCAGCTGACTTCCTGGAGGCCCTTTGGAGGCAGACACCATGTTCCCACTCCCCTATTCTGTTCCATGCATCCCAGCCTACAGGTGCTGAGCCAGGGCCCTAGGGACCAGCCACCAGAGCGGTCATCTGCAGAAGCACCACTGCCCCAGGGGTGAGCACAGGGCTGTTTTAGTGCCCGCCCTCCCATGCAGAGCAGGGAGGGAGCCTTTAGGGCTGCTGGGGGCGGGGTGTGTGGTCATGGATGAAAATGGAGCCTGGGACTCAGAGTAAATTTCACTGAAAACAGGAAACCACGAAGCTGCGCTGCATTAACTTGCAAGGGTCCAAAGAAGAGACCATGCAGGAGGAAGCTGGGGAGGAAGTGTGGTGGCGTTCTGCTCCGGGGCCTCTTCCCCCCTCCACGCAGCCGCCGACGGGGGTCTGGCTGCCAAGCTCTTAGAAGTTGTCTCTGCCTCGAGGTCAGAAGCTGCGTGCGGGGCTAGACCAGCCCCCCTGTAGGGCAGGAGCACTCTTTCTGAGCTAGGAGACAGGGAGGCTGCTCTGTGGGCTTGTCTAACTCTCGAGGTAGCCTGGCCCTGCCTCAAGCAGGTGTCGCCTGACTCATCCCTGCCCCATGGGCCCCCACAGGCTGTGAAAACGGCACCCTCTTCCTGTGGCAACTGGCACTAAGTGTTCATGGCAGCAGATGGAATAGAAGAGGGGACCCCCGGGGACAAAGCAGGAGCAGGGGCTTTGGTGTTCTGGTCACTGGTGATGTTGGTGCCGTCTCAAGGTCCATGCTTGCCCTCTCCTCAAGACCTCCAGGCACAGCAGGACACCCACACTGGCCCACACCCCTGGGCCTGACAAGGGAGCTTTGGAAGCAAGGCCATGCATCCAGTGGGCTCCTTGGTTCCAGCCGCAGGTGTGGGGCTCACGGCAGCTGGACAACCTAGAGCTGCTCCTTTCTTCCAGCCTCCAGTCCCATCTCTCTGCCAGGTGATCGATCTGGTGGGCTTCCCTCTACCTGCGGGGCCCTTATCCTGGCCTGAACACCTGGCTCTCAGCACGCAGGCCCGGCTCAGCAGAGCCAGTGCAGGCCGCTGGCAGATGAATGCCCAGTTGAAACTATACCCTCCATAGTCAGTGTCCCGGGCTTCTGCCCAGCTCAGACCCTCCCCTGCTCCTCTTAGGCCCAACCAACCCTGTTTCCACCCCAGAGAGCACAGAGACCGCCCCACTTCTCTTCATGCTTTAAAGCCCTTTAACGAAAATTCCACGAAGGACTCCCCCTTGTATATGTGTATATAAACAAACCTGGATCACACCGTGAAGAGGGAGATGGGAACAGAGGGTGCAGAGCAGAGGGGACACAAACCCTTCTGTGGACATGTCCTGCTCTGCCACCTGACAGGGTCACTCTGCAGTGAAGACTCGGCAGACTGAATGGGACAGAAGACCAAGGGAGGGGAGAAGCAGAGTAGGAATTTAAACCCAGCTCTTACAATCCGTCCACAGGGCTTCCACCTGTTGCCCACGTAGTTTTTAATAGCACCCCCCTCTTCACGCTCAAAAGTGTCACAGTTTGGACAATACATTGTGTGGTCACCCGCTCTATGGACCATGCTGAGAAGTGGGAGAGGGCGATGGGGAAGGCAGCGGAAACGGAGCCCTCGCCACACCCCTTCCCAGCAGGCCCCCGGGCTCGCCCTCACCCCTGTCTGTGGTGGGCAGTGCAACCTCTGGCCTGGCCTCCATTGCTCAAGATGCCAGTTGGCTCACCGTGGCCACAGTGTCCCAATGTGTACTTCCTGTTTGGGGGCCTCTCGCCAGTGATTTCTGGGGGCCAGAGTGCAGGCACTGGGAGCCCCAGATTGGCTTCACCTGTTGACAGCTCCTAGGAGAGGTTGCTGGTAGGAGGCCGCTGGGGAAGGCTCCTATGCCTGGGGGCAGGCAGGCCCAGTCCCAGAGCCCCACACTTACAAAGAGTGAGTTGGCAGATGAGCAGCCTCATGTAAGATGGGGAAGCCAGTCCACCACAGTGGGGAACACTCTTTCCACATCGAGTCCTGCGTCTCCTTCCTGGGAGGGTGGCACTGGGGGCTCTGCTCAGTGCCCATCTTGTCCCATCTATGCTGTCAACTCCCAGGGCTCATGTCCTAGGCAGAGAGGCTGCCACAGAGCTGGAAATTCTGGGGTTTCTAGGATGTAGGTCATTTGGCATCTGTAGCTGATGAATTTCAGGTCTCTGGGGTGGGATCCCAGCACGCCACCATCCTTGAGACAGGCTGAGTGATCCAACATCTTCTCCCGTCTGCCATGTGGCATCCAGAGAGGCTGAGAGTCTGGCCATCAGGGGTATCTGAAAGAGTCTGGGCTCAGAGTGGGAGGGAGGAAGCCAGAGCTGAGACCAAGGGACCACTCAGGGTACCAGCCTGGCTCAAGCGCACCTGCCCCAGGCCCAGCCGCAGCTGCCCACTGGCCCCCAGCTGCTCTAGACGGCCTCAGAGTTTGGAGAGTCAGGGACAGGGTCTGCAAAAGAAAAGAGAAGCAGAGTGAATAGGGGCTTCAACCCCACACCAGGAGACTGTGAGGGCTCCCCAGGGAGGTGGGGGAGTGAGGGTGATGCCCTGCAGGCTAACAGGAGGTCATGACCTCGCAGGCCTCACTGCTGCGAGGGTTGGGAAGCACTCACCTAGGGATGGAAAGAAGACATCCCCAGGGCCTGGTGGAGACAGAGGAGTGCTGGGCTCGGAAAGCAGGTGCCGTCCAGACTCAGAAGGCTGCCGCTGGGCCACGTAGGACAAGGGGGGCCTCGGCTTGGCCTCCGGCATCCCCGGGGTGGGCAGAGAGGCCTCAAAGCCAGGGTTTTCAATTCCTTGAGCATTGCTGCTAGAGAATCAGAACCAAAGGTCATCTGTGCTGCCTGGGTTTGGGGCCTTCACACACACACACACACTCTTCTCTGCTCCCTTCCCCTCACCTGCCTTCCCACTCCAGGCCTCCACAGCCTCTCTCAGCATAAAGGGAGGATCCAGGGCCAGAGAGAAAAGGCCATGGACTGCACTCTCCCACCTTCCCTGAGCTGAGGGCATCTGATCCCCGCTCTGCCCCGTGCATGGACTGCACTCTCCCACCTTCCCTGAGCTGAGGGCATCTGACCCCAGCGCTGCCCTGTGGTCTGACCATCTGCCCTGGGCCCTGCCAGGAAGCCCAGGGTCAAGAGCACTTCCAGGACACTGGCCTCAGGAACCTGGGGACAAGTTTCTCTTTGGTCAGTAGAGTCACCTCACAGCTGGTCCTGAGCTGAAGGGAGGTTCTCTTTTCTTCCCTTCTCCTCTCTTAACTCTGAGATTCTCGCAAGACTTCTTTGGATCTGTCTTGAAAATCATCCCTTTCAAACACCCAGGGGATTTGGTGTTGCAGGTACCAGGGCCAGTTCCTGCGTGTGGCTCATTCCTGAGCACGCCCTCTGTGCCAGGCTCTGTGCCAGCTTCCTGCCCAGGATGCACCAGCTCACACCACCCATCCACTCCGTCCCCGACCTGCTGCCTTGCTCTGCGCTGAGTCAGCCTCTGCCCTCGTGGCCTGACAGCTTTCTCTGTGGAGTGCCCTGCAGGGAGGAGCCACAGCTCCAGGTGTGCTGGCCTCCTTTGCATGTTCCAGTGTCTGCCCAGCTCAGCTGCTTCCTCCCCCTCCCCCACCCCAGCCTACTGGCCGCTAAGGGTGCGTGGCTTATCCATAAAGCACAGGAGCTCAGCCTGCTGGGTGAGGGGTGCCAGGAGAACAGCCAACTGGCAGGCACAGATGTGTAGGCCTCAGTGGCAGATGGCAGATACTCTTCTAACCAGCTGTGCTGGCAGCTAAATAGGGGCGCTGCTTCACAGACATCTCCTTCCTGACAGCTGGCCCAGGGCACAGGGAGGCCCAGGGAGGCCATGTCTGTGTTCTGACCCCTGTTGTGGTCTAACCTGTTACCAGGGAAGAGAAGGGAAAGGGTCCTGTTGAAGCGGGGAGAGTCAGTCGTGGCTACACGTTACCCCTCCCCCTTTTGCATTAACTCCAGCCACAGTTTGGGTCGTGGACATTGCCGTACACAGCCACAAGCCCTGGGAGTCAAGCTTTGGATTGGGGCAGGGGCAGCTGAGGAAGTTTTCTTGAGAAGGTCTCCATGGGCCTTACCTGTCCATCCGCACCAGCTCCTGGGCACCTAGGGACAGAGAGAGAAGCTGGTCACACAGGGAAGGCTTCCCCAGACAGCATCTCTGCCCTAGCTGGCAGACGCCTCTGGGGGGGACGGGAGCAAGCCCACGCAGGGCTGTGCTCCGCCCTGGATCCCACGCCTGTTCACTCGGGAGGCCCATTCAGCAGCATTCTGCGTGTTTATCCAGCAGGCAAGGCCTCAGTGAGCAGCCATTTTGACCAGTGAGAAATGAAACTTGGGTGGGCTGCATTTTACACGTGTGTAGGACATTTGTCACCAGGAGACCAAAGGCAGCCAATACTTTCTCCTATGGTTTGAGGCGTTAGACCTTCAGGATTTACGTATCGACCCAAGGTCTGGCACCTGAACTTGCTGTTTCCTGTTTGGACATTTGCCATGGTCTGGTCTTTAGCCATGATTTACTGCATGGAAGTGTTGCAAGGTCAGTTCCTACTTAGAGGGTTCCTGGGCCTCTCTGTCCCGTCCTCTATTTTGTGTACTAGGGTGGTTTCAGAGGTGACACCTCTTAGAGGAATCTTAGGGGGCCTGAGACCGCATCACTTCTCAGCCATTCCACTACTTTCTGCTCCTCATCCAAGCTGCTGCCACCCTGCCCCACTTCTGGGGGTCCCCCACCTCCCCAAACTGAACACCAACCAAATTCAGTGGCCCCGACTTCCCTCTTTTTTCAGCTCCCCATGTACTCCTGCAGATCCTTCTCATTTTTAAGAGCTTTACTGCTGATTAATATGGGGAAACAGAGAGTGGGGGAGGGGCACAACAACAGAACACATGGGGAAGTTGCACAAAAGTTCCTGAAATCTCTGCGGTATTGGATTCATGGCCGCTGTTTACCGAGGACTCCAGGGCAGTAGGCTCTGTGTGTGTGCTCTACGGTCCCTCAGCTCAGCTTCCCGTCCACCCTTGCGGGGAAGACTGGTGGTCCCACTTTGCAGCTGGGGACGCCAGTCCACACTGCATTCCTCCAAGCTCCCAACCCTTTTTCTTTTTTCCCCCAGAGGGACTCGTTCCGGAGTGCACCCTCGGCACCAGGCTTCAGGCCACTCAGCCTCTGTCCTGTGGCCGGACACCTGGCATTTCCCAGGTGACTTGTGTTCCCTTAACTCCAGCAGCTGCTTCTCTAGAGCCTACATCAAGAAAAATGGCCCAAATTTCTGCTCCCTCTCCATTTCATACCAGGTTTCTCTAGCATCGTCTCCCCTGGCATTTCTTCTCTGTCTCTAAAATCTTTAATCATATAGCTCATTTCTTCTTTTTCTTTCTTTTTTTTTTTTTTTACTTTTGGAGAGGATGGGGGGGGACTGGCCTCAAAAATACTTTTATTAGAAGATAAATTATTGACACCTGTTACTGCATATTAACTGTGGAGATAAGGTGCTATGAAGTGGCCTCATCATAGGACCGGGGTTTGTTTAGCGTTTCAGAGGATGTTCAATATTGATCATCGCATGGCCCCAGCCGGCCCACGGTACCCACGTGCTCCCTCTTTCAGTCCAGTTCTTCAGCACCAGTTCCTCTGGGAAGCCCTCAGAATGAAGGTGTCCCAATGCATGGAGTAGGAGACGCTGGGGGCTGACCCCAATTTCCCCATGTCCTCAGGACACCCTCCACAGTGCTCTGGCCTGGGGACATTCCCTCTCTGATTTTTCTTCCTCCAGCCTGGGACACGGGCAAGAGCCCTGGACCAGCCTCTGGGTACCCTGTGAGGAAGGCTATGAGGCTACCCCTCTCCACCACCCTCTGCCTGGCATTTGTTTTCCATTTCCTGTTCCCTGATGGAGGCAGCACTGTGGTCTGGAGTAAGGGGGCCAGAAGGCACCTCTTTAAAATCTGGGAGCCAAGCCTAGCTGAGCCTGTCTCCCTCCTCGTCCCGTCCCCACCTCTGTGGAAATGCTACGTGGATGAGCGAGAGCTGATGGCAGCTCTGCAGTGATTTCTCTTCCTGGTTGAGCCCCTAGTTTCCTCTTTCTGCTGCAACCCCTTTACCTGCCCCCCACCCCACCCCCAACCTCAGGGTATTTTGTAGGTAGGCTGTGGTGGGTTTTGTGAGAGACACATGGAAGTCCTGAGAGTAAGGGAGAGGTGGCCACAGCCTGAATAACCCACTGCAGAGTTCCAGATTGGGCCCACAGGAGAGAGAGGTGCAGGTTATTAAGGTCCAGCCAAAGGAAATCAGGTGTGAGGCAAAAGCTACCTGGTGACAGAGCAGCCTCCCTCGGTTACCTTCTGCTGCCAGGCAGAGGGGAGCAATGCGAGGGCCAGACTTGAATCCTGGCTCCATCACTTACTCGCTGTGCAATTCCTTAAGTGCGTTCTTTAACCTCTCTATACTTCAGTTTGCTCAACTATAAAGTGGGGACAATGATAGGACCAAGCCTTTAGAGTCATTACGAGGAATAAGTGAGAAAATGTATCTAACAAGCTTGGTATGGTACCTGGCACAACAGCCTTCACAGTGAGAGGGTTGTGGGCTATGACGCTTAGACTAATGAGTGTTTTTATTATATAGTGGGGTTATATTCCCTGGAAAAAGCATGAGTTGAAAACTCTGAGTTTGAGCGCCAGCTCTGCCACGTACTGAGTAACATTTAGTTAGTTATTTAACCCCGGGGATGTCAGCTTTCTCAGCTGTAAAAGGAAAGAATTGAACTAACTTATTTCTAAGATCCCTTCCAGTTCTGATAATCCAAAGGTCATTTTTGTCCCAACAACTGCTATGCTAATAACAAAACAAGCCCACCCATGAATTAAAGCAGGTCCCCAAAGGATCTCTGAGTGGCAACATTTTTGTAAACCAGTTTGAACTGCTCCATATGATTATTCATTCGCCAACAGATATTTATTGAGTGCCACGCCAGCACTGCTTGGGGCTTGTGGGTACTCAGGCCCTGGAAATGGCGTGCCCGGGTCCCCCTCCCCTCTCTGCCATTGAGCTCAGCTCCTTGCTGGGACTCCATTAGCTCCCATCTCTGGCACAGGGAAGACCTTGCTAATCCCAGGGGCTGAGCTGGCACTGGGACAGGTGACCCACACACCCCACCCATCCCAGGAGGCCAGGGATACTCACGGCGGTTGGAGGCCACCTGCCTTTGCTTATAGACCAGGAGCAGGATGAGGGGAAGGCAGAGGATGCCCACAATGCAGGCGCCGGTAGCCAGGGCGGCAGCCGTGATGTCTGAAAGGGCAGAGAGACAGCCAAGGTGAGGTCCCATTCTCACTGTACCTCCTGAGGGGAAACTGAAGCCCAGAGAGGGGAGGCCAGGCAGCAGGGGACACACCACTACCCAGGCCTCACAGCCAGACCCTCACTGACCTTCAGAGGCATGTAAGATCTAGGGGCCCCCTTTCAAAGACAGCCCCGTGCCTCCTCCCCAAGTGGGCCCAGAGCACACAGAAATGAAGCCAGGCGCTTACAGCTGAGGGCCTTCATCAGGCCCACTGGGGACAGCTCAACTGCCCTGGGCCACAGGTTGTTTCCTAAGAAGGGAGAGCAGGCCCTTCACACCTTCACAGACCTTACGCCACAGAGTTCACAGTCAAAAGGAGCCCAAGTGATGAAAACCTTTTGGAAATAGGTAGTAGTGACGGTTGCACAACCTTGTGAGGGTAATTAATGCCATTGAATCGTACACTTAAAAGTGGTTAAAATGGCAAATTTTCTGTTTTACCACCATATAAAAAAAATAAATGAAGGAAAAACCCCATTCATCTCTTAAGTGACCCTTTAGCTCTGGGGTGGAGCCTGTGAAAGTGATCTCATGAGTCCTGGGGTGAGAACTAGAGAAATGTGAATCCTCCTCCAACATTTTTAAATTTTAAACTTTCTAAATTACAAAAAAAAAAGTATAAGTTAAAAGATATATTTTAAACTTTCTTCCTCCTCCTCTACCCAGGCCCCCTCCAAATAGATAATCAGTGTCTGTAGTTTTCTTGTGTATGGTCTAGATTATGTCCCCTGCATATTTAGCATATACAAAGGGTGCCAAAGAAAGTATGCACGTTTTAAGAAAGGAAAAGACTGTATTAAAATTGTAACACTCGATATATACCAATAACAAAAGATAACATATACTGATAACAACAAGTTGTGTATACATGTTTTGGCACTCCCGGTATATGATATGCTTTTCATGTGACAATTGCTTTTCCCGCTTAGCATAGCTTGGACATCTCTGTGTTTGGACACAGAGATCTATCTCAGTCTGCCCAGGGCTTTATCACGTGGCTCACCCAAAATTTATTGAAACAGTCTCCGACTGGAGGACATGTAGGTTGCTGTCATACTTCAACATAACTATTAACGTAGCAGGGAACTCCCTGTGTGTGCATCCTTGCTCACCCAGGCAAGACATCTGCCCATAAATTTCTAGCAGTTAAGGCGCTGAGCCAAAGAGTATGTGCGTTTTCTTTTCATCTATTGCTCAGAAAATGTAGTCCCGCTCACTTCGTGATCCCACCAGCAGTGTGAGAGGCTGACTTTATTTCTGTCTGTCTGCTGACTCCAGGAGTTTAACTGGAGCAGACACACGCTCAGAACCACACCAGCGTAAACGTATTTCCTTCCCAATTTTAGCCCTTCCCAAAAGATGGGCGTATCCTGTCACAACGTCAGCTTGGCCCTGGGGAGCTTTGGGAAGGTGGACGTGCTGTGGTCTCGAGGTTGCCTTAGCACTGCTCATTTGGAATAAGGGCTGTTCTCGTCTCATTGTATTGCTAAACAAACCGATGGTGTAAACAAGCTTTGGGGGGGGGGGGTTGGTTCACACCGCAAAAGAGAACAAACTGTTTTCAGGCACGTAGATAATATACCCACTGGTGCAGGAACAGTTGCTATGCTAATTACAAAGCAAGTTCCACTTCACATTAAAGCTCCCCCGCAGATCTTAGCAAGGCTGCATTTTTGACGTGGAATATTCAAAGTAAAAACATTCTATAATTCAGACATTTAAGTATTTCTAAACCCTGTCACGGGCCCTTATTGTGGGCACCATCAGAGAAGCAGGCTGCAAAGCTTTCAAAGCAGGTCTTCTCTGGATGGATACTAAGCAACTTTTCATGAGGTTAGTCAGGTGCTCACTAATTCCGGCTCCCTGTTGGCCTTAACTCCCAGTCTGACTCCTGTCCCCAGGCAAAGTTCCTGCATCTACAGCCCCTCCAGGGGATCAGGACTCTGTTTCCTTACAACCTGGGCTGAGAGTTAACTCTGGGGTGGGGGTGGGAGCAGCAGGGATTCTGTGGCCCCAAGTGCCCTCTGAAACCATGGGCTCCTCTGCAGAGCCCAGCCCTACCACAGCTCTCCACCCCTCCCTATAAGCATAGCCAGTACCTGGGGGTGAGGGGTGGGGGTATTTCTTCTTGGTAGCCATCCTGAGCCAGGCTCATCGTGGGAAGGTAATCAGGCACTGGCAGAGGCAGCTGCCAGGCTAGAACCAAGGACTGTGCCAGGCCCTTACAGAGCAGGGTGGGATGGGGTGGGGATGGGGGCAGACTGCCCAGCGGGTCTTTGTCCCAGGCCTGCCAGTGGGTATATGTGTAAGAGGGAATTCAACTGGGCTGTCTGGTTCCCCAGGGAGGGGCTGGATAAAAAGCAAACCCAAAACATCCTGCTGTGTTGGGGGGTAGGGAGGTTGCTTTAAGGGGTGGGGAGATGGCTGCCCACCCCCTTTCCCTGGGTTGGGGTGAAAAACCACAGACCCTCAGCAACCTGGGCTCCTAGGGCTCCAACTTCCTCAGTCTCACCCCTCTCTTGACACCTCCCCAACCTCAGGCTGACTTGGGCTTTCAGATGATTTCACAGGCCAACTCCCCTCCTACTTTCCAAAAAGAACATGAGGAGACTGGGGCCACAGTTAGAGGAGGAAAAATCCAAGAGCTTCTTGGCTGAAAGTATCCTCAGCTGATCAGGTAGTAAGGCATCTGTCTTAGAGAGCCTGGGGATGAGGACCTTTCCAAAGGTAAGTGGCAGTGAAGGGCAGTACCCAGAGGCCAGCCCTAAGGCCCACCGAGCACCTGGGTCATCAGACAAATGTTTCTAAATCATTAGGAAGCAGGCTGTGTGTCCACCGTCTGCCGCCATCCGCATGCCAGCCTGCCTCAGCACAGGGGAATGGATGAGTTGACGTGGGAAGCCGGGCCTAGACGTCTGCATTCGAAGTAACAATAGCTAGCACTGAACACAGCACTTAACTCTGTGACGGGCCTGGTTCTTAGTGCTTTACAGTTAGAACTCCATTTTAGCCTCATAACAACCTGGAAAATAAGTGCAATCATAATCATCTCTGTTGTACAGATGAGAAAACTAAGGCACAGAGAGGTTAAGCAACTTGGCTGCTTTCAGGGTCTGTGCCCTTAACCGCTTCACCAGACTGCCTTTCCCTAGAATGGACTCAACATGTGAAATTGAGAGTTCACATAAAAATCTGGACTTCTGTTATAAGTTTGCTTGACAATGTAGCGGCTCTGGCAACCGTGGGCCCCCCTCCTGGCATGCAGCGGTTAGAACTGCACTTATAGACTGGCAGCGGGGTGCTGGCCACAGTCTCCATCCCTCCCTACTACATTATTCACCGGCTCCCTGGCCCTGGGGGCATTTGAGTTTTTAACCCCTGAATCGGCTCCTTAAATAACAATTATTCCCCTCCTCCCCGTTAGTAGGAAAGGGTCACACTTGTCCCATTTCTCAGTGCACACATGGTACCCAGAGAATGAACATGCTGCCTAAAAGCCCCACACACCACCCGAAACTAGAGCTGGGTTGCTTCTTATCTGAGATGACGCCCGCCATAGTGCCAAGTCTCCACCACAGCTATAGTCTCCAGACCTCCAGAACCAACCCTCTGGGAGGGCATTAGAAAGGGACACCAGAAGTCACCGAAGCCATCCCCCTGCCCTCAACAGCTGGGACAGAAGCAAACATGTCCCTTTGTCTCTCAGGGAGCCAGTTTACTGAGGACAGTAGCTCCGGGAAATAAGGCCCAGAGTGAGGCTGCACATCTCCATGAATTAGAGAGGAAGGAAATGTTAAAACCTGAGAGCAGAAGTGCCCAGCAAAGGAAGCCTGACCCACTTTTGGTAGTCAAGTTCAAGGCTCTGCCTTACCCTTGGGCTCTTATCAGCCAGACTATTTCCCAGGTGACTTCTGTTCCCTTAATTCCAGCAGCTACTTTTCTAGAGTCTAGATCAAGAAAAATAAACAAAATTTCCACTTCCTCCATTTTGTACCAGCATCGTCCCCTCTGGCATCTCCTGTCTCTGTCCCCAAGACTTAACTCATACAACTGATTCTCAGAAAACCAGTATTGACAGAGGGGGGAGGGGGCAGCCCAGCATTCGGGCAGGAGGCCCTCTGGCATCTCGTTGGCTCTGGGTCTCAGAGACTGGGAGCACGTCCCCTTCACCTGCCTGAACCTCAGTTTCCCCATCTGTGAAGTGAGGGCACTGGCAGAAGTGACTGCTCTAAGGGAGTTCTGCAGGAGAAAGAAGTGGGACTGGGGACGTTGCTCAGAGTGGAAGGCGCAATGGGGAAGTGAACACTCAAGTGCGCTGCCAGGTGCAGCTCACCCTGGCCTGTACATCGGCGCACGTGTACACGCAGTCGAGAGACTGCTGCATGGGAAGGAAGGAGCTGCTGAGAGGCCCCTCTCCACCCTCACCAGGGAGTCACTAATGGAGGAAGTGAGGATGGCAGTGGCTTGGTGCTGAGTGACATGTGAGCTCTGCGGTGTGCAGGTAGCGGGGCTTGAACCAGAGAGTTTCGTAGTTCCATGTGGGCCTAGCTCAGACCAAAATGTGGGTTCTAATTTTGTTCTTGGCTAGTCTGCTTGTTGTTTCAAAACAATAGAGTAGTTGGAGTAGAAAGTCACGGCAGCCTTTGGGGTCCGGCTGGGGCTGTGACTGAGCTGCTCCCACTCCTGGCTCGGTGTTTATGCCCGTGCTCCTGGAGGTCCGCGGGGAGATCTGCACGTATGTATCTGCAGAGCCTGGGCAGGGGCTGGTCCACACTGGATGCCCAATAAACACTGATGGGTGGAAGGCTATGGAAGCTAAGACCCTCTCCTCTCAGAAGAGTGGGGTACTCCAAAGACAGCTCCCCTTTGCCTGCTGTCTCTAAGCTGCTGGGCATTTTCACCTGGCCTCTGAGTGCCTGGGCACCCCTTAGAACAGTGCTCCCTTCTCTGGGCAAACGCCAGGGGGCTGACTGCCACCCACTGCACTGCATGCCCCCACCCCTTCCGCCGAGCTGGGAAGAAGGCGAAATGAGCACAATCCCAGCTCCCAGCTGCGCTACCTTCATTGGCTGTGTGAATTGAGCAAGCTAAGTCACTTCCCTGGGCCTCCATTTCCATGTACGTAAAGGAAAGATGGTGTTGCCTGCTTCACAGGATTCTTATGAGAATCCACTGAAATGCCAGTACTTGGAAGGACTTAGCACGGGGCCTGGCACATAGTAGGGGCTCCAGGAAAGGCAGTTCTGTTCACTTCTTGAGCCTCTCCCTCCTCCCCCCACCATGGACAGAACAAGGAAATGTTAAGTCGCTGATCCAAGCCAAGAGAACCACCCCCCACAGTCCTCCAACCTTCCCATGTGGCAGAGGACGGGTGGGCAGGAAGGGAGCCCACTGAAAACAAGCTCAGCAGCCTGTGGTACCCAACCCGTCATGGGGCACTTGGCCACAGGTCATGCCAGGGTACAGCTCCACCCAGGGAGTCGGGAGCAGGGATGCTGGGAGTCCATTCTCTCAGGCTTTGGGCCTTGGAAGGGACGTGGACTTCTGGGGGCTGCAGCCCAATGGCTCAGGTGAAGGAGAAAGCAAAAGGTAGGAGGAATGGGGGTCCATGGGCTTGGGGTGATGAGGTCAGAGTTTAGGATGGGGTCTGGGTCCAGGAGGAGGGCAGCGGAGAATAGAGAACCCAGAAGGGGCAAGAGGATGGTCCCTTACTTTCACTCTCCCTGCGGGAAGGTGGGTACGCAATGCACTTGGATGGCGCTTCACTGCCTGTGGGAGCAAAGAGAAAGGTTGTTAGGTAGGTGTCAGGCCCAGGAGGCCAGTGAGGCTGTCCAGGCTGACGTACCCCCTCCTGTCTCAGCTACTCATGTCCACTTAGCAGCATTGGCCCAGGTGGGACCTGCACACACACACACACACAC